CATGTTTGGTAAGATGGAGGGGCAGAGAAAAAGAGGAAGGCCCCCAATGAGATGTACTGGCCAAGTGGCAGCATCGATGGACTCAAGTGTGGCAACAGTACTGAGGCTGGCCCAGGATCGGACAGTTCTGCTGTGCATAAGGTCGCTTTGGGTTGGTCCTGACTCGATGGCACCTAACAACAACAACATGATAGCTGGACTTTTAGTTACTAGGCATAGGTTTCTTACCTAACCACTCCCCACACTAGCATCTGTCTTGCTCAAGGCTCTAAAGTCCTTGTGAGTGGGGATTATGTCTGACTTGGCTTTGTCAGCCTAGCTCTGAACTCAATGCCTCACATATACCAGTCCCTTCAAGTCAATTGCAATGAACCATCTCACAAATACTTACTGTTTAATAAATACCGAACTGAATAACACCATTTAAACTCTGAAGCAAATATCTGATATTGTTGGAAATATTTTCTATAAGATGCTTTTAGAAACGTTTCATAAGAATAATGTGAAATGCAGTTGTTGTTGTTGTTAGGTGCCAATGAGTCAATGATAATTCATGCAAACTCCGTGCACAAGAGGATTAAACATTACCTGATCCTGTGCCTTCCTCACAACCATTGCTATGTTTGAGGCCACTGTGGCAGGCACTACGGCAGTCCATTTTGTTGAGGAACTTTCTTTTTTCATTTTCACTGACCCTCTACATTACTAAACAGGATGTCCTTCTCCAGAGACTAGTCCCTTCTAATCAAATGTCCACAGTACCTAAGATCAAGTCTCACCCTCTTCCATTGTAAAGAATATTCTGATTGTACTTCTTCCCAGACACATTTGTTTATTCCTCATCAACAACAAAATTGAAAAGCATCAGTTCTTATGTGGTCTTCCTGGTTCATTATTCAGGTTTCAGTGCATATGAAGTCACTGAAAATACCATGGCTTGGGTGAGGTCCACCTTCATCCTCAAAGTGACATCGTTTTTAACACTTCTAAGTGACTTTAACACTTTAAGTTGCTCTTTTGCAATGTATTTGCTTAATGCAATACTTCATTTGATTCTCTGACTATTGTTTCCATGGATGTTGGTGGTGGATCCAAGTAAAATGAAGTCCTTGACAACTTCAATCCTTTTGCCATTTATCACAATGCTGCTTATTGGTCTAGTTGTGAGGATATTTGTTTTTTTTTCTTTAGGTTAAGGTGTAATCTCTAAAAGGCTGTCTTCTTTGGTTCCATGTAGGCATAGGGATATTACTGTGTCTCTGATAGGACTCTACTTCAGCCGAGATCTTGAAATGGTCTTGTTGACAATGAGTGCAACACAGAGTCTCCTCAATCTGTCATTCTCAGTATAGTAGGATATATGATTATCTAATTTTATATAGCCAGTACCAGAACATTTCTGCTCACTAATGCCTACGATGAATCCTGGAGTGGTGCTGTATGATCAGCACTGGACTGCTAACTGCAATATTGGTGGTTCATATACACCAGCTGCTTGAAAACTCTACTCAGGATCACTATGAATCAGAACTGACTCCATGGCAATGGACATAACAATGCCCAGGATATTGATTGGCAAGTGTAACATTGATTTTGACAACTTCTGATTTTTCTACTTTGTACCCATTGCTTCTCATTTTGAGTTGTGCCACATGAGCAAATGAAGTCTCCAAAGCATTACTTCATCAATGTCATTAAGGTCAACTCTACTTTGTGGATGCAGCTCTTCCCTGGTAGTATTTTGTGTGTCTACCAAACTTGAGGGGCTTATCTTCAAGGTATTATATCAGACAACATTCTGTTGCTATTCATAAGGTTTTGAGTAGCCAATTTTTTTAGAAGTAAATCACCAGGTGCTTTTTCCTAGTCTGTCTTAGTCTGGAAGCTCCTACATAGCCTGTCCACTAGGGGTGACCCTGCTGGTATCTGAAACACTGATGGCTTACCTTTCAGCATCACAGCAACATGCAGACCTCCACAGTATGACAAACCAACAGATGTGGAGTTAATGATTTGAAATAGTGAGAAAAAAGATGTAATTGCATTTACTGTGTTTATAATGCACACTAATTTCATGCTAACTCTATGAAAACTTTCATTAAAATCCACCTCTAAATTTGCTTTCTGTACTTTATTTTCCACCTATGATTTTTTAAAAGAATAGTTTATCAAATTTTCTCCTACATCTTAGTCTTCAAAGTCCTCGATCACAGGAGCTTTATTTCTTTTCAGAATTGTTGCTGAAGAATCCCTTGAGATAGCTTCTCGCTGTCATTAGTGAAAAAGATGGCCATGATTTGTTTATCAGAAGACTTTCTGCAGAAATGAGTGAGTCTTTCTTTCCCATTACATCTATAGCAAAGCTTTCTAGCGAATTAACAAAACCCAAACCAAACAAAGCAAAAAGCTGTGATGAACTCACAAAACTTCCAGCATCTCTTACCTTTTGCCCAGTCTTCAGGTTGTACATCTTACAGAAAAGCTAATATCATATGTGTGCTTTTGGGTAAATGCTTTGGGAGTAAGCCGTGGCTTACATTTTAAATGGAGTTCTTGCTTTATCAATGGCGGCTCATGCTGTTTATCTTGGCTTTCATGTTGCTTAAATGAGTTATATTGTAGACTTCTGAGTAAGGTTCTTTCTTTCATAATTCATTTTTCCTTTTCTCAATTTAGTTTCATGTCACAATCAAACAGACATTTTTACTCCATTACTGTGTGAGAGACAACTTTTGCTCTAACCTCGTTATAAGGTGTATCTTGCATTCCTGAATCTTCTTTCATTGCTCCTTCTTCTTTTATATTTGGTGTAATGCTCAGGAAAGCTGGCCAGCCCATGGAGAACATACCTGTGAGAATCAAGACAACGACATAATTATTATCTGAGGCCCATTTTGTTTCGGTAAGATAATGCCTTTCCTCAGGATGCGGTAAGTGGTGTTATTATAAAACTCAGACAATCCATGAGATGGTTAGACAGTGAGGGTTGATAAATACTCTGCCATAGAAGTCATGTTGCCCTTGGTGTAACCTTTGAGTCACTCTCGGGCAATCCACATTGCCTATGAGGATCTAGATGAGGTTATGAACCAAGCTTGGGATGTGTAAGTAGAGCTTGTGCCATTGGCCTTGTTTTATTAACTTCTCTGAGCCTGTTTCCTCATCTGTTCAACTGGAGACAACACTATCACCTCAAAGAATGGTTGTGAGGATAAAAAGATAATATTTCAGGAAATAGTTGGTATCACCAGTGTACTATACAGGCAGTGCTCAGTCCTCATTATTTTTTCTTTAGTCTTATTCAGGACACTTCTCAAATGTTTTCAGCATTGGTAATTTCAGGATTACCAAGGGTTGGGCTCTGCAAATATACAAAAACACTTGATATTGGGTATGTACAGAGAAGTTCTGATGTGGCTCTGCTGGTTAATGCGCCGGACTGAAAAGTCAGTTTGAACTTCAAGGTCAGCAGTTCAAGCTCACCAGCCGCTCCTTGGAAACTCTACATGGGGTTACAATGGTTCGAAAACTAATCAACGGCACTTAACATCAACAAATATACCCAGAGGAGAGATCAGATATGAATGACTAGGGATCTCAGTGGACTCTGGGACTCTGGCTCTAGCACAAACGAACCATAAGATCTGGAGCACTTTATTTTCTTCTCTGAGTGTTGATTTTCTCATTTGTAAATGTGAGGTGATAACAACCTGGGACTCATAGAATTGCCTTTGACTCCTAAAGAGATATTAGTAACCCAGTGGTCAGTGCAGTGACCCATGTGGCAAATGCTTATTCAATGATTGCTAAGAGCTGGGGCTAATGCTGTGAATGGCAAAGTCAGTTTGAACCGCAAGGTCAGCAGTTCAGTCACACCAGCTGTTCCTTGGAAACCCTATATAGGGTCGCTATGGGTTGGAACTGATTCGACAGTACTTAACGACAACAATACTCTTCTAGGCATCCTCGATAAGTACTGGAATGCTACTTGCAAGGTTGGTGGTTCAAACGCACCATCTGCTCCTGAGAAATCCTATACAGGGTCATTATGAGTCTTACTTAATAACAACAAATGCTCTTGTAGGATATTTCCATATTTAATCATTACCACATTGGCTATGTAACTAAACGATCCTTCCCAAAACATGTTCCAAATTTTAATCATAATAATTGTAGTGACACAATAATTTTTAATTCCCCTTTCCTACTTAGTCCTAATAATACAGCTCCAGTAATTAGACATGTACTAGAATATTTAAAAACTGATTGTAAAAGGAAAAGTCACAACTTACTTCTTGCAGGATGATGAACATTTGTTAGTATGATGGCGGTAGCTTTATGCACGTTGTAGAGGATTGTTTTACTGTCCTGATTCAAAACATCAACATAAACTTATATACTGGTATTGTGAAGTGTTATCAAATTGGTTCCTACTCACAGTGACCTTGTATAGGGTTTCTGATAAGCAGCTTGTGGGTTTGAACTTCCAACCTTGTGGTTAGAAGCCCAGTGCTGATCCTACAGGGCCACACAGTATTTGCCAATGAGCTTCATATATATGCCAATGATATGAGTGTATACTAAACAAACACGTACATACACACATAAAAATCTACAGCTGTGGAGTAGAACTGCCCCACAGGGTCCCGAGGCCGTATATCTTTACAGAAGCAGACTGGCAAAACTACTTCCTAAGAAATGGCTGCAGGGTTCACACTGCTAACCTGCTGGTAGCAGCTGAGTGTCTCAAACATTGTGCTACCAGGGATCCTGAATAAATGAGTTTAATTTATTGTTGTTTTGTTGTTAGCGTTGTTGAGTAGGTTTCAATTAATAGCGAACCTGTATAGTGTTTTCAAGATGTGTCTGGTGGGTTTGAAACACTGATACTGCATTCAGAAATCCAATGTTTATCTTACAGCCACACCATTACTAATGCTTCATAAATAATCACTTGTACAATTGGAAGTTTACTAAATTGTTGTTGTTGTTGTTGTTAAGTGCCATCAAGTGATTCCAACCCTACACAGTGTTTCTGAGGAGCGACTGGTGAGTTTGAACCTCTGACCTTCCTGTTCAAATGACCTTATGGTTCAGTGCTTATCCTACAGTACTACACCAGGACTCAATTAACATATTCTTTTTCTTAATGAGTACATTATTTTCCAGTACTTGTTGTTAAGTGCTGCTGAGTTGGTTCCAACTCATAGAGACTCTGTGTATAGTTTCCGAAGCTGTAAACCTTTGTGTGAGTAGAAAGCCTCATCTTTCTCCTATGGAGGAGTGCCTGGTGGGCTTGAGACCACCAAAATATTGTAATTCAAGTGCATTTATTTATTTTTAAGTTTTAAAAATTTTAGCATTTAAAGATTTATTTCTGTTTTAATACGCTAAATTCTTCACTGTGTTATAACTTTTAGATAGTGTTATCTGATGCACTGCTATTTAAATAACACATTGGGTTTGAACAGATTTTTGCAAGAAAGTAGAGATCAAATAAGTTAACTATACTGCCTCATTTCTTTGAACAAAGAAATATTGTTTGTAAATATTGTTATAGAATCTTTTTTTATCAAACACTAATTAGGAAAGATTTTTAATGAAAGAAAACCTACACCATAAACCATTATGTGTTTATTGCTGTTTTTTGGTGTCATCGAATAGGTTCAGACTCATATCAACCCTGCATAGGTTTTCCTAGTAGTGACTAGTGGTTTTGAACCACCCACCATGTGGTCGGCAGCCCAGTGCTTATCCTACAGTACCACAATCAGTTTATGCTTTTGAAAGAATAAAATGGAACATGTTGATTATAATGTTGTTGTTGTTAAGTGCCGTCGAGTCAGTTCTGACTCATAGAGACTTCCAAGGCTGTGAAAATCTTTGTGATAACACAAAGTGTCATCTTTCTCCTACAGAGAGGCTAGTAGGTTCGAAATGCCAACCTTAATATTCGAAGTTCAGGCTTATCTTACAGAGCCACCAAACTCTCTGTTGATGAGAGTTGCAGGATGATGAGCATTTATTAGTATGAATGAGGTAGCTTTATGCACTTTGCAGAGGATTATTTTAAGGCTCTGATTTAAAACATTATAACATCAAGTTATATATTGGTGCTGTGAAGTGCTCGTTATATAACAGGGGGCTACAAAATGCTTGTGGAAATTTTGAGTGAAAAGATGAAGGATTTGTTTCACCAACACTTTGTGGATTCCTACACATGTCCTATACTTATGCTTCTAATTTTGTATCATTTATATCGAATGAGCAAATTAAAATGGATTCCTCTTACAATTTGAAAGGCTTCATCAATTTCAGACTAAGATTCCAAGGACATCCCAGCATGCAGACAGACAGCAAAACACAGCCCCTCTCCCTAAGCCTGAATATTGGTTAACATGTAGCTTTGTGTGCAGAGGAATTTTCAGTAACTTGAACTTTTTCAATTTTGGATGAGATTTCTGAATGGTCTTTGCATGTAGGTCTGAGATTGTTTTTACTTGTAGGAATTACATTTTTACAAGTTCCCTGGCAGTAAAATTTAAGCAGCAACTTGGTTTCTTCTGCACTGTTATGTGGAGGTGAACAAGCATGGTTAGAGCACTCACTTCCTCCAACGGGAGTTGTTAGTAATGGGTTGCTATCACAGAGGTGGGCATCCTCCAGGAGCAGGGATGGCGCGCAGATCTGATCCATTTTCCAGTAACCTATGGTAGTGCAAGATGAGGTTAGAACATCACTACATGTGGCTGTTAATGCAAGCTGACTAAACGCTGCGTTGTCTTTAACCAACACGGCAGGCACTTTCTTTTTGAACTGAGACGCTGACCATCCAGTGGTCTTGCTGTACATGAAATAGGCATATGATCAAGGCACAATGGAGAGAGTTAAGTTTTAAAATGACAGCATGATGAGACATAACTATGAAAGTAAATGCAGCTTTATACACATAGCTGAGATAAATACAATATAAAATGAGTCAGTTAAGCTAAGTTTCATGAGGTGCATTTCTGGACTTTTTCTCCTTACATGGTCATCTTACCCTTTCTTTTCAGGTATTCTGCGATGAGGGCAGCTATATGGATGTAACACATAGCAGCCTGGAAGAAGACAGAAAACAGAGACGGTGAGGGGATGGTAGATTACGGATTACTTTACGTATCTAATTCAAGCCTATCTTCCATGGTGAGTCTGGACTTCATGTCAGAATATATGAAGGATCCTTTGTAATGACAGAATTAAAAATAAGGATCAGCTATATTTCAGAAAAGAATGAAACCCATGAATATTTGGAGGATTTTTCGGGTTTAGTGGCATAATTGTTTAAGCACACACTGCTAAGTGAGAGGTCCGTGGTTTGAATTGACCCAGAAGCACCTTGGATGAATGGCCTTGATATCCACTTCTGAAACGGCAGTCAAGGAAAACCCAGTGGAGCACAGTTCTACTCTGACACACAAGTGGTGGTGGCGGCCGTGTGTCGTGGAGTCGGTTCCTACTCATAGCGACCCTGTACACACAAGGGATCCCCATAAATCAGAATCAAATTCATGGCAACTGTTTTGCTTTTGGACTGTTATTGTTAAGTATTGTCGAGTAGGAGCTGACTCATAGCAACTCTATATAGGGTTTCCGAGGAGCTGCTGGTGAGCTTGAACTGCTGACCTTGTGGTTCAAGCTAACTTTGCAGTCCAGTGCATTAACCCACAGTGCCAAGATATTTGAGATTGAGCCAAAAATTATCTGCACTCTGGGTATAGTAAGATTTCTATTAGCTGCACTATCGTATCAGCACTTTCTGTTCAAGGCCTAGTATTGGAACATTATCAGGAAAAAAGTTCTGCAATCAACAGTGCTCATTGCAGTGATATGCTCACTGGAGAGCTGAAGCCTAAAGGGTTAAAGGAAGAGGACTGATACCCAAGGAATTTACGATCTTGCATGACAACGCATGTCTTCATACATCTGTCCACACTGTTGACACTCTGCAAAAAACTTCATTTTGAGGTGTTAAAGCATCCTGTTCTGATCTTACTCCATCAGACTTTCATCTGTTTGGGCCCCTGACAGCAGTTCTTTGAGGACAAACTTTCACTTCTGAGGTAAAAGTGAAGACAGCAGTACATTCATTTCTCACAGCTCAGTCTAAAACATTTTTTAAAAAGGGAATACAAAAGCTTGTTGACAGATGGAGAGAACATATTGGAAAACAAGGAGATGATGTCAAAAAATTATGCATTTGTCTTTTTTTAAAGTTGACTAACGTAGCTTCTGTAGCAAGAGTGCAAATAATTTTTGACTCACCCTCATAGATTTCAGATGGACTAAACAATTTCCACATAGGATTATCGTCCTTCTTTAGTATCTAAGACTAATGTCACAGGTTTTTTGCTTTTTTTTTTTTTTCAACTGCAATCTATAAACTCTAACATCTGGATCTAAATTGGAAGCAAAAATGACATGCCTTCTTGCCCTTTCTTCCTCTAGTACTTATCTCTCCTCAAATCTCAGTGGCCCTAAAAATGGTCTCCACACACCATGGCACTTGATGAAATAGTGTGACTTTCTGATGTAGCCTCTATGTTCCTCATTTCCAAACTAGATAACATGGGTGGTATTTCATTTTTCTGAACTATCCCCTACAAAGCCTTGAACGGTGCTGAGCACACACTAGAAACTTGACTTGCTGAAGATTCAATAGAACTTCAGCATTTTTCTTTTGAAGTTTTATGGAGGAATTCCATCATTTTTAGGGCAGTCCAAGGAAACTGGACTTTTTCATTTTTGTCCTCAACAAACTACATCCCAGCCAGGCCTCTGGTTGGCTCTATTTTAGCGTAGTGGTTACGAATCGGGCTGCTAACCTCAAGGTCGGCAGTTCAAAACTACCAGCTGTTCTGCGGGAGAAAGGTGAGGCTTTCTGCTCCTGTAAAGATTTACAACTTCAGAGACCCTGTGCAGGGTCACTATGAGTCAGAACCGACTCCATGGTACTTAATAACAACAACAAGCCTGCCGTGGTGCTGTGGGCTAATGCACTGGACTGCAAAGTCAGTTTGAACCGCAAGGTTAGTGGTTCAAGCTCACCCGTCACTCCTTGGAAATCCTATACAGGGTTGCTATGGGTCAGAACCAACACGACGGCACTTGACAACAACAGCAACACGCACAGTAGGGTAAACACTAGACTGCTTTCCACAAGGTAGGCAGTTCAAAACCACTAGCCACTCCTCTGAAACCGTATATAGATTGCTATGAGTCAGAACCGACTCAATAGACCCTAATAACAATAAACACCAGGTGCATTTAGACGAGCTCTGGGTTTTAGGACGTGTTTAGACAAACGAATCATGTTGGAAAAGGGACATGGTTCTAAGAAGAAGGCAGACCTCCCCTTCTTGATACCCAGAAGCCACACAGATGCTATGAATTGCTGGATACAATCCATCTGATGTTTGTTGTTAAGTGCTGTCAAGTCAGTTCTGACCCATAGCAACCCTGTATAGGGTTTCCAAGGAGTGGGTGGTGAGCTTGAACGGCCGACCTTGTGGTTCAAACTGACTTTGCTGTCCAGTGCATTAACCCATAGGGTCACAGTTTAAGCCAAGATAAAACTTGCATATTTATAGATAACCTTCACACAGTGGACTCTTCAAAATGGGGACAGATTACCTTTGGTTGAGCTTACTTACCATGGTGACAACCTTTCCTGTTCCGTTTTTTTGAAAAAATTATTATAGTAAAATATATAACAAAACATTTGCCATTACAATGATCTTCACACATATAATTCAGTGACGTATTATGTTCACCATGTTGTACAACCATCACTATCTGTTTCCAATCATAGAAATTCAGTATCCCTAAAGCAAGGCCTTCTCATCCTCACCCCCTTCCCCACCTTTTCCTCTTTCACCCAGCCCCTCCCACCTGGCTCAATTTAAATTTCAGGTAAGAATTTTTTAAATGTATACCACGCTTAATTTCCAGATCCCTTATGACCATTCTCTGTCATCTCAAGTTATAAAATTTAGTTCTACGTTGCAGTTGCATTTTTTTTTTTTTTTTTTTTTACAGTTCCTGTGGGTGCCCCACAGGCTCTGATCTTCATCTGATCTCATTTACTTTGAGTCTGACAGCCTTACACCTCCACCTAAATTCAATGTGCATAACGTATAATCGGGTCATAACTAGACTAGTAGGAAGTTAAGTAAAGTTTACAATGCAGGCTCTACATGAAAATCCATTTGTCCTCATCGGAATGACAATGTTGATGGAGAATGAACCGTAAGTCGTCACCTCTGATAAGTCTCCATTTCTCGCATGAACCTTAGCCATGCTCTCCAGCCAAGTCCTCCGGAGCTCAGGGGTGCTGGCATAGGAGTTGGCCAGGCTGTATTGGAGATCCACCAGCATCTCAGGGTCTTTTTCATGCTCCTTCATCTGAGCCGTGGCCATCAAAACAGTCCTGATACGTTTCGTCAGGTCTTTTACTTCTGCTGGGAAATTGCTGTTCTTTGGAAAACAGAGAGTCTGAGTCAGTCTCTTTCTAGAATTCATGTCAACTTCCCTCAAGTTATGCCACCACTTATGACTCTGATGACAGTTTGGTGCATTCTATATAATGTGAATAAATATGTACATTCTATACGTATGCAGTCTGTGAATTGTGACTTTAGGTGTACTGCGCATTTAAAGGGAAGGATTGTAGTAGATGATCCTTTTTGTCTTCAGGCTCATGCTCGACCATCTAATTTTCCATAAGCCTCTCTCATCCCTGACTCTAGTTTGTGTGATTTGAATGGATCTGATTCCACTCCCAGGAAACAGGAATGACAGGTGACACTGGCTAGACAATACTGAACTTCGATTCCTCAGACCACACTGATGGATTCAGGGATGAACATACGATGCAAGGTTAAATAAAAAAGATTCAGTTTTGGGATTTTAATTGGTAACTGTTGAGAAACGTGCAGTCCTGGTGTAGTGCTGTAGGATAAGCACTGGACTGTGTGCATCAAAAGGTCTGTTGATCTGATCCACCAGCTGCTCCTTAGAAACCATATACAGGGTCTTTGTGAGTCAGAACCATTCACAGAATGATACAGTCTTCTCAGAGTTTCTGAGAGTAATCTCTTGGGGAGAGGCTACCTGCAAATATAAACACAGACGGATATGGAGCTGGGAAGCAAAGAGAGAGGTAAGAACAGAGGAATGGAGTTGGGAGGGGGACAGTGATCTTTGAAAATGTTATTTTAACCCTGGGCCCAGCCATACCTGAAGCCAGATTTTAGCCTGGGGATTTTCAGTCTAATGATTAAAGGAAAAAGTCTTCAAAAAGTGCTAAAAGAAAGATGAGCTGAATTTGGGATTCTGAGAGAGATCAGGAGTAAATCCCTGTCTTTTGGGATATTGATGAGAAATCTTGTTCTATGCCATTATTCAGCATAGACTGGAAATTCCACCGAATAGAAAGTGTAACAGATGATTACCAATTATCAGGAACAAATGGAATGTTGAGTTAAAATACCAGTAAGGAAAATATGTCGTTGTTAAATGCCTTCAAGTCAATTCCGACCCATAGCGACCCTGCTGTATAGGGTTTCCAAGGAGTAGCTGGTGAGCTTAAACCACCAATCTTTGCAGTTCAAATGACTTTGCAGATTAGAATTCTACATATTCTGCTGTTCATTTGTGATTTAGGAGACATCCTGTGTTACAGGAGTCCTGGTGTGGCGCTGTGGGTTAATGTGCCAGGACTACAAAGCTCTCTAACTGCAAGGTCGGTGATGTCAAGCTCACCAGCTGCTCCTTGGAAACCCTATACAGTGTCACTATGGGTCGGAACCAACTCGACGGCACTTCACATCAAAGAAAAACCTGTGTTGCAGAGTGGAACTGCTCCCCAGAGTTTTCTTGGCTGTCATCTTAATAGAAGCAGATTGCAGCCTTGCGGGTTTTTGAACTGCCAACCTTTTGATTATCAGCCAAATGCAAACCATTTGTGCCACACAAGGAACTTCTATATATTTGGAATTCTCACAAAAAGAATCTACATCAGTTTATTCTTAAGTCTTTATAAGAAGTCCACAACACATTTCTTACTTTCATTTGCTTGTCGCCATTAGCAAAATTATTAGTAATTGCTAGGGAATGTTGAAACCGAGATCCTCCAATACCAGCATCAGCTATTAGCTGGCTTACAGCCTTGATGAGCTGGAAGAGAAAATAACAGAAACAAACAAAAAAGAGAATGCTTAAAATAAGCTCTGAAATAGTATCTTTAGAAAAGCTCATTTGATTGGGTTAATGTAAATACCCCTGCCGATCCTACCAATAACACCAATATGTATTAAAACATCAGCAAGTCATATAATCTTGGGTTTTCCTAATCACCTCAATGACAATGTATCTCTCAAAGCGCTAAAGAAGGCTATGTGAGTCTTTGGTGTCCTGGAAGAAATACTTTTATGCCTTTTGGAATGTGGCAGGTTGGGCCTCCTTGAGTTAGCTGTGGGGTCTGCGGAATGACGCATGCTAGAGGAGTCCAGCTCCACTGGAAACTGCTGGTTTCTGCCCAGTTGTGCTCTCCCTCTGAATAGGAACTGAGCGTGATGGACATATTTAAGGAGGAAACTAGTGGACAAGATGGTAACTGGTTGCCATGGAAGAGTTGGTTTTCATCAATGCTGAAACATATTAGAGGCTTTCATAAAAGCATTTATGAAAAGGAGCTGGGCTTACTTGTAAGTGGGACCGGACAATGGACTTCTGCTTGTTGAACTCAAAATTCTTCCTCATGAAGAAATACAGAAGTGCTGAGGCCTCCATCTGAGTTGACCGTGACCTGTGGTTACAGCATTTTAGGACTTCATAGCAGAATGATCCACAGAGGTCCGCTGGCCCTTGAAAGAACGCTGATGGAAACTATAGAAATGGAAGGGTGGGGGCAGTGAGCAGCATCTCTTCAATCTCTTATTTTAAAATTCCCTACAAGTAAAACCCTCTACTATTTTTAACCTAGCCTTTTCTTCCATTTAAAAGTGAAGGACATGGGACTTTATTAATCAAAGTTTCTATCAATATTTCTCTTTGCTTCTTAGAAGTAATTACACTCTTACATAGTAAGCATCCTCTGTATCAATAATTGAAGATAACCCATGCCATCAATTTGATTTCACCTCACAGTGACCCCATGTATTACAGAATAGACCTGCCACCTTGTGTTTCTTTGGCTGAAATCTTTAATGTAGCAGGTCATCAGGGCTTTCTTTGGTGCTGCTGCTGAGTGACATGGGACCACTAAACACTAGATTAGTAGTTGAGCACAAACAATTTGTGCTACCCAGGAAGTTAATTGATGACAATCCAAAATAACTGAGTGAGAGAGAGTCTTAAAATAATCTAAATGCACCCAACATCATTAAAGCCATAGGCATCGTTTACAGGTGGTCTTAGAAGTGGTAGCTGCAGCCACGTGGATGTGGCCTGGGTACCTTGGCATGAATAGACATACCAGAGGGGTGCATTTATCTAAGTCTATGCCACAAGCACTGAGAATAGAAAGAATGGGTGACAAAGTGGTCATTTTATTCCTTTTTGGTGTCCAAGTAGATGGACTCTCAAGGCTGTGAATTCATTCTGACATCATGAATCAAAGTCTTATAAAATGAAAATAGAAGGCGTCAAAACTTTTCTTCACCCTGAGCAACATGAGGATTAATATTAGAATTTTGTTGTTTCTGTCAGGTGTTGTTGAGTTGGTGCCAACTCATAGCAGCTCTATGCACAACAGAAGGAAACACTGCCCAGTCCTGGGCCAACATCATAATTGCTGCCACACTTGAGCCTATTGATACTGACACCTTGCCAATTCATCTCACTGGGGGTCCTCCTCTTTTTCTCTGATGCTTACCAAACATGATATCCTTCTCCACTTTGAGGAGACAGCTCTTCCCCAGTCGCATTTTGAGTGCCTTCCAACCTGAGGGGCTCATTTTTCGGCACTATATCTGACAGTGTTTCCCTGTTATTATAAGGTTTTCAGTGACTAAATATTCAGAAGTAGTTCATCACTCCTTCTTCCTAGTCTGTCTTCATCTGGAAGTTCATCTGAAACCTGTCCACCATGGGTGACCCTGCTGGTATTTAAAATACCTGTGGCAGAGCTTCCAGAATCACAGCAACTCACAAGCTACGACAGTATAGTAAACCCACAATGTTTACTATCCTTTCTAACTGTGCTGCACAAGAACCCGAGGATGCTCACCTTGCAAACAAACAGTCTCAAGGAGGCAAACACGTGTTTCAGTGCCGCAGTTGATTGGTTGACTTGGAAAAAGAGCATGTAGATATCAAAGACCCTTTTCATCAACGAATTCTGACAGTCAGATTGTTGTAGTTGCCTCTGGAAACAGAGAGGAGAAGTGTTAAGAACACCTGAATTCTTTCCACAAACACGCATTGTCAACCCACTATGTGGTAGGCACCATCTTAGATCCTAGATGTTGGAATTAAGAGTTGAAAAAGAAGTCAAAGTCCAAATTCCCATGATAAACAAATTGACAAAGAAAAACAGAATAAAGTGCCTGATAGAAAGTCACTCTTTGGGAGTAGGAATACTTAAGACAGGATGATTAGCAAAGTTCTCTCTACTGAAGAGACACGTGCAGAGGAGACCTAGGGCACGTGTTTCAGGAAGAACTAGCTAGTGCAAGAGCCTTGCATTGGAAAGGCGTCTGTGAGTCCAAGAAGGAGGGAGAAGAGCAGAGTTTCTGAAGCACCAGGTGGGGTTAGGGGAGAGGTGTGAGGCAGGTGAGATCCTCTCAGGCCTAATCGATAGAGCCTTTCAAGTAACATTCCACAATGCACTAAAGAATCAAAAGGTGGTTTTTGTTTTTCTTCCACTGTGCTGATAATTTAACTTGAAATTAGAGCTATCTTGGTGTAACCTTTTTGTTTGGTGGAGGTATTTTATTCAATGGTTCATCTTGTCAATCCTTAATGTGCTAGCCTCACTCTGTGAGCTGACTAGATTGAGCTGTAAACATTTTGAACAACCTGTGAGTCGGAATCAACTCAAGGACACTTCACAACAACAAAAACATTGAGGTATAGTTGACATAGTGTAAACAACTCATATTCAAAATACAAGTTGATAAGTTTGTCGTAGCTATACACCGTAAACCCATAGTGAGCATATCCATCTCCCCAAGGCTTTCCTAATGCCTTCTTGTCCTGCCTCTTTCCCACCCCTCCTCCACATGCCACTGCTCTGCTTTCTGTTTCTAGAGTTTGTTTTGGGAGAATAAGATGGAATCAAGCAGTATGCCCTCTGATTTTGGTTTCTTTCACGCAGCATAACTGTTCTGAGATCCCTCCGTTCTATAGAACACATTGGTAGTGAATTCCATTTTGTTGTTGCACCATATTCTATTGTACGTTGTTGTTGTTTAGTGCCATAGAGTCCATTCTGAGCCATAGTGACCTGTAAAGGGTTTCTGAGGAGTGGCTGGGGAGCTTGAACCACTGACCTTGCAGTTCAAACTGCCTTTGCAGTCCAGTGCATTAACCCACAGCACCACATCAGGACTCCTGTATTCTATTGTATAGTATAAGATATTTGGTTTAATAATTTATCAATTGATTGACATTTACATTGTTTCCAGTTTGGACTATTATAAATACAGCTGATAGGAACATTTATATGGACATTCAAATTTTTATATGGACATTCCCCACCCCCTATTGTAAATAATAGCTGGATCACATGATCAATGATTGTTAAAGTTAAAAAAATAACGGTTATATTCTTCAAATTGTTCACACCATTATGAGACCTGGTATGACACTCTAGGATAAACCACAAGGTCAGCAGTTGTCAAACCCACCAGTGGCTCTTGGAAACTCTATACAGGGTCGCTATGAGTTGGAACCAACTCAGCGGCACACAACAACAGCCATTACACGTTCCAACTGACAGTGAAGGAGAGTTCCAGTTTCTCCACAACCATAACAAATATTGAAATGGCAAGTAAGCACAGGAAACGATTGTTAACATTATTAGTCTTTTGGACCAACTACAAAGCTATCTCAGCATACTTGGTCTCTCTTTAAAGGTTGAATATGTAGTTACAGTCTCACTCAGCCCAGCTTCCTTGATAGTAAAGCAAGAGACATGAAGAAGGTCTATAATTTGACAATAGTGACATACACTATATAGATGTCTAGCAACATCTATAAAAATCTGAATCTGATGTTTAACCTGTTTTTTACTCACAGGCCATTGGACTTATGTGTACTGAGTGGATTCCCTAAGACATTTTGCAAACACATTTTCTTCACTTCATGTGGCTGCATTTGTTACCTATCATTTTGCGGAAACTGTAACAGTAATACTTGCCTGGTGGGTCTGGGTGAAGAGAGAAAGCAGGTCTAGAATAGTGAGGCAAACTTCTGTAGCTATATTGGCCTCAGTGTTCATGTGGTGCGCGATGTCTATTTCATTGGAGTTGCCTACAGAAGGAACAGAAAAACTTGCGTGTAAGTTCTAAGACAATTCTCCATTCTGAAAAAGGAGTTTTGTCTATCACGATATGTTCAATTCACTAACACAACATTGAAAAACTAGGAAATCAAAGTGCTTTTGTTTGTTCATTTTCCTGATTGGCAGAATGAAAACCACTAGAAGGTTTTTAGTGTGTCCTTTTCATATGTCAGCTGTAGAGTTTCCAAAGGACAGTGGTCTATTTCCCATTATCTCTTCATTCTTTTCCATGAATTGAGCCATTTATATTGTTAATTGATGACTCACAAAGACCCTGTATAGGCCTAGTTTTTAAGGAGTAGCCGGTAGGTTTGAATCACTGATCATGCAGTTAGCGGTCCAGCGCTTATCCTATTGTACCACACCAGGACTCTGTTTCAGCCATTGGTAGGGCAATATGTCTTCCACATCAAGACTGGTGAAAACCCATGCTGCCAGGCTAATAGACTAAATGGGCAGTTTCAGTGGATATTCTGTATTAACAGTTCTCTTGGAAAAGCACAATGCATATTAATAGGTTAAGACATAAACCTTCCACCAAGTCATGCTGTGGGTCATGTGACTATAACAGCTAACATTTACATGTTGTGAAACATCGGGCTCCATTTCCCCTCATTCATAACCAAGAATGTGTGCATCTACTGGGTTCAGGCTTACTGCTTCTGAGGAAGGGATAGATTCAGTATCATCTTTCCTCCAACTTGTTGTTCTTAAGCTGTTGACAGGTTCTGATTCAACCTGTCTAGGGTTTCCAAGGAGTGGCTGGTGAGCTTGCACAGCCAATCCTGGAGTTCAAACCATTCTTGTGGTCCAGTGCTTTATCTGCTGTGCTACATCAGGATTCCTCCCATCAAGTATACAGTAATAATGATGCGATGTTGTTGTTAGGTGTTCTTGAGTTGGTTCCTACTCATAGTATCCATATGCACAACAGAACAAAACATAGCCAGTCCTGGAGCATCCTCATAATTGCTGTTTGAGCTTATTGTGCTGCCAGGATGTCAATCCATTTTGTTGAGGGGGGTCCTCTTTTCCACTGACCCGCCACTTTACCAAACATCTCTTTCCCCAGGGCCTGATTATTCTTGATCACATGTCCACGTATAAGAGGCAAAGTCTCACCATCCTCGTGTTTAAGGAGTATTCTGATGATAGTTGTTTGTTTTCCTGGCAGTAGAATGTACTTTCAATATTCTTCAAACAATAATTCAAATGGATAGATTCTTCTAGAGTCTTCCTTATTCATTGCTGCATTTTCATATGCATATGAGGCGATTGAAAAGAGCAAGGCTTATGTCATTCTAAAATGGGACATCTTTGCTTTTTAATACTTTAAATTAGTCTTTTGCAAAAGATTTGCCTAATAAAACACATAGTTTGATTTCTTGACTGTTGTTTTTATGAGCATTGACTGTGGACCCAAGAAAAATGAAGTATTTGACAACTTCGGTTTTTTTTTTTCTGTTTCTCATGATATTATTTAGTGGTCTAGTTATATAGATTTTTAGCTAACTTGACCTTGAGATGCAATCCATACTGAAGATTGTTGTGATTGTTAGGTGCCACTGAGTCAGTAACAACTCATGGTGACCCCGTGCACAATGGACGGAAACACTGCCCCATCCTGTGCCAACCCCATAATCGTCGCTGAGTTTGAGCTCATTGTTGTCACCATGGTGCCAATCCAACTAGTTAGGACTCTTCCTCTTTTTCTCTGACTCCCCACCTTACCATACATGATATCTTTCTCCATATTCTCCTGACAATATGTCTGAAGTGTGAGAGATGAAATCTGGCCATCATGGCTTCCAAGAAGCATCTGGCTGTACTTCTTCCAAAATGGATTTGTTTGTTCTTTTGGCAGTCCATGGTACTGTTTATATTATCTTTCAACACAATAATCCAAATGCATCAGTTCTTCTGCAGTCTTCCTTATTCACTGTCCCACTTTCACATGCATATCAGGTAATTGAAACCATCATAGCTTGGGTCAGGCATACCTCAGTCCTCAAACTGACATCCCTGCTCTTAAACACTTTAAAGAGGTCTTGGTCAGCAGATTTGCCTAATGCAATATGTAGTTTGAGGTCTTGACTGTTGCTCCATGACAGTGGATGGTTGATCCGAACAAAATGAAGTCTTTGAAGACTTCAATATTTTTTCCATTGATAAGAATGTTTTTCACTGATCCAGTGGTGAGGAATTTTGTTTTCTATACATTGAGATGGAACCCGTACCTTTGATCTTAATCAGTAAGTATTTTAAGGTCTCTTCACTTTCAACAAGCAAGTTTGTATCATCTGCATATCAGAGGCTGTTGATGAGTCTTCTTTCAATCCTGATATCACATTTTTCTTCATATAACCCAAGTTTGTGGATTATGTAATCACCATACACATTGAGTAAGTATGGTGTAAGAATAAGACCCTGGCGTACACCTTTCCTAATTTTAAACCATTCAATTTTCCTTGTTCTGTTTGTACAACTGCCTCTTGATCTATGTACTGGTTCCTCATGAGTACAATCAAGTGTTCTGGAATACTCATTTTCTGCAATGTTGTTCATAGCTTGTCATGATCTACACAATCAAAAACCTTTACGTTGTTGATAAAGCACAGGTAAACATCTTTCTGGTATTCCCTGCATTCAGTCAAGGTCAATCAGACACTAGCAGTAATATTCCTTGTTTCCCATACTCATCTTTAACCCAGCTTGAATCTCTGGCAGTTCTCTGTCAATGTATGTTTGTAACCATTTTTGAACTATCTTTAGCAAAGTTTTGGTTGTATGAGACATCAGTGAGATTGTTCAATGACTTCCACATTCCATTGGGTCATTATCTTTGGAATGGACACACATAAGGATCTCTTCCCGTCAGCTGGCCAGGTAGCTGTCTTCCAAATTTCTTGGCACAGATGAGTGAGTACCTCCAATGCTGCATCAGTCTGTTGAAAGATTTCAATTTGTAGTCCATCAATTCCCAGAGTCTTGTCATTTGCCAAAGCCTTCAATGTACCTTGGACTTATTCCTTCAGTATCGTTGGCTCTTGATCATATGTTACCTCTTCAAATGGTTGAACATCAACTATTTCTTTTTGGACAAGTGACTCTGTGTATTCTTTCCATTTTCTTTTGATATTTTCTGCATCATTCAATATTTTTCCCATAGAATCCTTCAAAATCGCAAGTCGAGGCTTGAATTTTTTTCTTCAGTTCCCTCAGCTTGGGAAATTCTGAGTGTGAACTTCATTTTTGGTTTTCTAACTACAAGTCTTTGCACATTTTGTTAAAAATCTTTGACTGTATCTTCACGAGCTGCTAAATTAAAATTACTATTCTGTTCTTTTTACCTCCTCAATTTTTCCTTTGGCTCTAGCATCTCTATGCTGAGAAGCAAGTTTCAGAGGTTCTTGTGACATCTAATTTGTTTTTTTCCTTCTTTCTTGTCTCCTTAATGACCTTTTGCTTTCATCTTGTATGATGTTCTGTATGTCATCCCACAACTCTTCTGATTTTCGGGCTTTAGTGTCTAATGCATCAAGTTTGTTCTTCAGATGATCTCAAACTCAGATGGGATATGTTCAAGGTCATATTTTGACTCTCATGAACTTGTCTTAATTTTCTTCAGCAGTCAACCTGAATTTTCACATGAGAAATTAACAGTCCGCTTCACAGGCTTTCCCTGGCTTTGTTTTGGCCAATGATATGGAGCTTTACCATCATCTCTTTCCATAGAAGTAGTCAGTTTGATTTCTGCGTATTCCATCTGGTGAGGTCCATGTGTATAATTGTCCTTTATGCTGTTTAAAAAGGTATTTGCAATGAAGAATTCATTGGTTTTGCACAATTCTATGATGAGATCTCCAGCATCATTTCGATCATCAGGTCTACATTTTCCAGCTACTGATCCTTCCAACCTTTGCATTCCAATTACCAGTAATTATCAACACATCTTGATTGTATGTTTGATCAATATCTGACTGAAGAAGTTGGTAGAGTTCTTCAATTTCATCATCACTGGCTTTAGAGGTTAGTATGTGCAAATGTACATACTACATACCATTGGTATGTACAAATGTACATACCATTCATGTTATAATGGTCAACTCTACTTAGAGGAGGAAGTTCTTCCCCAGTCATATTTCTGAGTGCTTTCAAACCTGAGGGGTTCATCTTCCGGCACTATATCTGGCAATATTCTGGTGCTCTTCATCATGTTTCAATATTCAATATTGTGATGCTATCTGACAGTGTTCCACTACTATCCATAAGGTTTTCAGTGACTAAATATTTGGAAGCAGTCTGTCTACATCTGTAAGCTCATCTGAAACCTGTCCACCAAAGGTGTCCCTGCTGTTATTTAAAATACCGATGACATAGCTTCCAGAACCACAGCAACACACATGGTACCACAATAAGACAAATGGACAGACAAGTGGTGGGCCCCATAAACTATTACACTAAATCAGCTGGTTTCTTAAAAGAGATCTATATGTGCCTTCCAAATAACAAAGGTCACTTTTTGTCCAGTTGCAAGGTTCTTACTCTAAGAGTATTATTTTGGAAGTTTTGCCTTTTATGTTATCTTCTCCTCTTCCCTGCACAAACACTGCATTTTTGTTAAATACGTCCTGATGATTCCCTCCTGGAAGAAAACTCTGTGGGTTAAGACAAGCCCTAAAGGATGGTTCAGCAGCCATGAAGCATTCTTGACATTTCTGGAACAGGAGAATGCATTCATGCCTTACACATATCTATAATAAAACTGGTAACCAGCTCATCGCTCTTCTTTCTGGTTTACTTACTGTTCGTGGTATTGTCTAACATCTGTAAGAGTTTGGGGTTAGAAAGTGCATTTTTGCCACGAATTATAGGTAAAGTCTGTGATCGGTGTTGCTTATGTCCTTCATGGCTGGCAGTGGTATGCATCCTGAAAATTAAATAAGAAACGTGGTTAAAGCAACTGGGAATATCATGTTCAAACGTGGTTAAAGCAACCGGGAATATCACGTTCAAACGTGGTTAAAGCAACCGGGAATATCATGCTCAAATCTTCATCTAAATATTCTAGACTTCCTACTTTGAATGGATTCTGAGTGAAGACAGAACAGAACTGCTCCATATGGCTTTTGAGGTTGTAAACCTTTATGGAAGCCTCATCTTCCTGCCGTGGAGTGATTGGTGTGTGAACTGCTGACCTTTCATTTAGCAGTTTAACACTTAGCCCACTATACCATCAGGGTTGCTTAGTATAGATTTAGTCAATAATAAAATTGAAAAACTTGAGTAGAGACTCTTTATTGAAAAGATTAGTCACAAGACACATGGCAGAAGGGTCTTTCAAAACCATTTTTAGAGAAATTTCATGTCCTTAAGTCAAAATAAGGCTTATAAAGATAATATATTGAATAATATATCCTCAGATTAAATCTCTGTTCAAGCATATTCATGATTATTTACTAAAATCAGGGACTCTATGAATGTCCTTTACATGCAAATGTTTTTACAGAGAAAGGACATTAGAAGGCTATTGGCTGATCAGAAATACATTGTGATGGACACATTAGGAAATGCAATATTGCATAAAGTTCACTTACATCAAATTCTCTTTAAAGACTGAAAAGGTAATATGTGATATAAAACAACCCTGTGTTTCCTATTTCTGTGTATTTGGAAATTCCTCAGGGCCCATTATTCCATTTGTAGCCTTTCAGCAGGAGGAGCTGACATGTGGGGAGAAAGCTGAGCAGCCTCTGAGTCAGAGGGCTGTCCCTTTCAGAAGGCACCTGTAATGACCTACAGTGGCTTCATGTTCAACGCCCATGGCATTTCCAACTGGGAAAACTAGCCAACGTGTATTCTGAAAGGAGGAATACAGTCAACTCTCATTACTCATTCTACTTGTTGTTATGTGCCGTGGAGTCGGTTCTGACTCATAGCAACCTTATAAAATCACTGCCAACATGGAATCAGTGCAGTGAACCACTGCTATTCGGGGAAATACAGGATCAGGACTCTAAGAGCCTCTGATCACAACATGTTCACCCAGTAATCAATATGTAATCGTGTGTTATGTGTGTTTCCAATGAAAAGACATTGATTTTGATATTGCTGATTCATTAACATTGAATTCTTGGCCAACAGCCCTGTAACTCATTCCTAAAGGAAGCATTATATGACCATGTGTTTTCTCTGTACAGTTACATCACAGGCTTCTGGGGCTTAGAACACTAGACAGCGCTTCAGTACTGCACTTGAGGACCATTCTGAAAGGCAGTATCACCATCAGCAAGCACAAAATGCAAAAATGTGACACTAAACAGCAAAAAGGACATTTGTTTACTGTCTGAGAACTGAAACAGGATGGTAGGATGTTGCCTTATTTGACCTCTGCTCAAACATGCACACTGGATAACTCCAATGTTTTGCTGCTATAGAATATTTGTGTGTGAACACAAAAGCAACACAAGTAGCGACTTCGGGGATTATAAATAAATGTCACTGAGTAGGTGAATTCACACATACAGAATCTGTGAATAATGAAGATTAACTGCACTTTATATTTCCAATTAAAATTTTGCAATTTAAATGTCTATTTGGCCAAGATAATAGGCTGATAATTCTTGGGCTATTTGCTGTCCTGCAAACTACTCATAAACCTACTGTTCAGCAATTTTATTACTATTTGGCTTTGGTACAATCAAAGGGTTTGATTGCTTTGAGACCCAGGAGTACTTGTTTGAATTTCAGTAGCCAGAGAAGTCTGCCTCATTCTGAAATTGTTAGAAATAACAGGTTCTGAGATGGAGGGCTTGGTGGCCAGGTTTTGAGTTGACTTCCATTTGGAACACGTGGAGGAAAAGCTCTGATATCTAGGAGGTGTGGAACAGGAATGAACACTACCCAATGGTTCAGGGAATCCTGAAATCTAACCCACTGACCATCCATAGAACTGAAGTGGCCTCAGGGTTTAAGAATGTTGTTGTTAAGTGTCGTATAGTTGTTTCCAACTCATAGCAACCCTGTATAGAGTTTCCAATGAATATCTGGTGGGTTTGAACCATAGACATTGTGCTTATCCTACAGTGCCACACCACAGCTGTTATTAAATGTGTAGAATAATTCTTTACATTCCTCTGTTAAATTACCATTTAGAAAATATTCCCATGACATTTTTTTTCTGTACCTTCACATATGAGAGCGATTTCAAAGGGCCCTCATGGACAGAGACAAAATTAATTTTACACTTTATTGGCTATATATCACTGTTTTATAGCTCTATAAAATGGTTTCTAAAATATTGCCATTTTCATAGTATATATTATGATGATACTTTGGGGAACAGTAAATCGGACTGGGAAACATTTCTGCAAAGACTTCCTACTTAGTAGATGCAGAGGAATTTAAAATACAATTTCAGGCCAAAGGTTTTCTATTAGGCTGGTAATTGACAGATTGCAAACTCGGTTTGAACTGTAAGGTCGGTGGTTCAAGCTCACCAGCTGCTCCTTGGAAACCCAGTACAGGGTCGCTATGGGTCGGAATCAACTCAACGGCACTTCTCAACAACATAGGCCTATAGGCTAGTCAGATCAGTTTCAGGACGAGGAAATCTAAGAGAGTGTAAGGGTCATGCGCGCTTCCTCACTGCCTTGTTAAGTATGTGGAGTTCGTTTTGACTCGTAGCGATCCTGTACAGGTTTTCTAAGGCTGTAAATCTTTATGGGAGCAGAACGGCTCATCTTTCTTCTGAGGAACAGCTGGTAGCTTCGAACTGCTGTCCTTGAGGTTGGCAGCCTGACTCGTAATCACTACACTACCAGAGGATCCTTGAAAAACAATCGCAGCTTTAAGCACGTCTGGGAAATACTACAGTTACCCAAAAGGAACAGGGAAACATGGCCCCACATTTTACTCTGTCAAGTGATTAGCAAACATTAAAAGAGGCATGTATTTCAGTGACTTCCTCATTTTCAGATTCAAATGCACTCAAATATTTATGAACCCTCACTTTATGAACGTAATGAATAATCCTTGCCCCTTAGGTCTTTACAAATTAACAGGGCAAATAAGATCGTATCTAAGATGTTAATTCAGATAAACATAAGAGGTTTGAAATCTGCATTTGGTTTGAAATACACACACACACACACACACACACACACAGAGTCGATTCTTATTATTCATGGTAATGTGCTATGGAGTCGGCTCTGAACCATTACGACCCTGCATAGGGTTTCCAAGCCTCAACTTTCAAGGAGTCGTTAGGTGGTGCAAACAGTTAATCAGCTCAGATGTTAACTGCAATGCTGTAAGTTTGAGTCTACCCAGAGGAACCTTGGAAGAAAAGACTGGCCAAAAAGATCAGCCTTTGAAAACCCTGTGGAGCATCATTTAACACATCATGTTAAATTGACACAATAGTTCCTTGGTTGGATGCTCTAGAAAGTTCCAGAACACTGAATTAATAAATTCCAAGCTAACCTTGTTTGACCTCAGCTAAGAATGCAGTTCTCCACTCTGCTCAGGAGCATAACCATAAATGAGTTGGAAAGCTTTCAGAGTACTGATTTTGGGATTACATATAAAATTTAGCGAGTAGGCAAATCAAAAAGTCCAGAATCCATGAATAATGTAGATTGAGTTATAGATCATACACACACAGAGACATTTATAAACATCAAACAAATGCAACATTACCATTGTGACAAGAGACCTGACGTCTGGCAGGAAGGATTTGATCCTTTAAGAGTTCCATTATTCTGGGTGGATTGTACAAATTTAAATGCAGCTGCAATTTTTCTGCAAGAAAAACTGAAGTTTTAATCATAGCTCCATGTTTATATGTCAAAAAAAAAAAAAAAAAGAGAGAGAGAGAGAGAAAGCGAACTGGCATAAACTATTGTTGAACAATGAAACACTTCACATTTAGTGAAAAACAAAATCTTAACTTCTTTCGGAAATGGGAAAGTTGCCCTCAGTGAAAGGGTTTCTCAGTTGGCCTCAGGGAAAGCCCTTTCTTGTCTCTCATACAGTTTGTTCAGATTTCTTTTGTTTGTTTAGTGCAATTGCTTTCTTAAACAGGTATCTTCTAAGTTATATGCATAAGGAGCTCTGGTAGTGTAGCATTTATAAAACGGGCTGCTAACATCAAGGTCGGCAGTTTGAAACTACCAGCTGTTTTGTGGGAGAAAGATGAGGTTTTCTGCTCCCGTAAAGATTTACAGCCTAAGAAACCCTGTGTAGGGTCACTATGAGTCAGAACCGACTCCACGGTACTTAACAGCAAGCTATATGTATAAAATGATATAGTACTTCAGATGCACAAGAAATAAGATTTTCCTTAAGAAATGGTATTTTTGTGCTTTTCCCCTAAATAAAGGTAAACATTTCTAGGATTACTATAGAGCTTTGGTGTTGTGCTGTAGGATTAAGCACCGGACTCATAACTACAAGGTTGGCAGTTCAAACCCACCAGCCGTTCTCAGAAATACTATCAGAACCAGCTTGATGGCATGAAACAACCAACTCAATGGTACCTAACAGCAATATCAGGTCTAATGTGAATACAGGACAACCTCAGAACTTCTGTTTGCCAGGTGAGGTCAACACAATACTTCTTACTTGCATTTAAAATTTCTACCATACCTTTAAATGCCTAGCCACATACCTTAATATTCATCATAATTAATTTTTTAAATGAATCAGTTCTGCTAGAATTTAAAATGTTTACCTTAATATATTGCGTTTTCCTAAGTATCTGAAATTTTGAAGACACACACTAGAAAGAAAAAAAGTACTGAGTTCAATTATTCATACTCTTTTATGGATACAAACCACTCATCCAAATATGTTCATAGAAACATATTACATTTTCCATAAACCCTTTAATAGTTATTACTTATAAATACTTAGAACAAACAGTAGTATAATGAATTATTTTGAAGGTTGTAGGTGGGGAAACAAAGCTGCATAATTAACCCTAAAACTTACTCTAAGATGCTGAAGAAGTCAGACACCTCTGGGCTGGGGGCTCTTTGCCAGTAGGCAATTAGAGTCTCTGAAAGAAAATAGCAAATAGCATGATATTAGATGAAATTCTAAGTTCTCTTTTTGGAAATTCGTTTTTAAGAGCTTTCTTTACCCTCTGAAATCGTTTTAATAATGTGAAGAAAACACATAAGAAGACTCCGGGTTTCTGCTTGATCTAATTTGTCAAATCGGAGAGTTGAGCCTATCAAAGACAAGGGTCTTGGGATCTATGGGATTAAAGAAGCAAGAAGGATTGAGTAAGAAAGAGAGCTCTCTGACCTACAATAAAGATGAATGCACTGGGAGGAAAGGGTTACCTTTTCACAGTTGTCTATCTTCTCACTGCTCTTTTCATTGGTACTTGGATTGGAGTCAATACTTGCTAATGATGCTCTGGAGTCAGCATGGTTTACTGTAGAAATAGCTATTGATGAAAATGCTGCAAACACAAGTCACAGCACACACATGATAATGAGATGCATGAGTACAAAACAAAAGTGAAATGATAAATCAAAAAGATGTGGATTATTGAGGTGGTAGGAGTATTTGGAAAGATTAACATAATGTTCTGAGGTTAACATTAAGATACACGTTATATTTCTATAGGAGAATCTTGATAAAAAGGAGGAAATTGTAGAACAGAATTTACAAGTCTAATGGAATCTAGATTTTCTAGAGTTTTAGAAGCTGGGTGATCCCCAGAATGATTACCCCGAGTAATCTTTAAATCCTAACCTAAAAATCTCCCCTGAAGGTTTCTATAACCCAAACAATATTTAGCTTAATTAGGAAAGAATGTCTGCCTTGAGCATTGTGGTCTTTTAAAAACAGCTACATGGAATTGACAACAACAATTGGAAGACTGAATAGAAAACTTCAGTGGTAATGAGTTAATGGGGGAGGAGCAATTCTGGAAAAGAATGTGACCACAGCTGTATAACTTGAAGAATGCCGACAATGTCAGTGAAGTGGTGAATGCTTTAATGTGTCCATTCTCAACAACAACAACAACTAAGTCAAATCACTCTGAGTAGTATTGTAACAGTGATGGACTGCAGAACATTCAGACCATTATAAATGGGGGAAAATAACAGAGGAATACTTAAAAAATTTTTTTTCTGAAAAGGAATATCTTTTAAAGGAATCTATTTCCTGTTTTTTTAAAAAAATGCTTTAATAAAAGCTCATAAGGATACTTTTGGGGAAAGAGTTTCAACTTAGGATGGTTTGTGATAAATTAAAGTGACATTTCCCAAACAGTTCTAAAACATAATCCTTGAAGTTGAAGAGCTATTCTATTTTAAAAGGCTCTGTGCAATAAAGACTTAAAGACTGTCCAAAATGAAGCAATTTGATTACATCCGAGCTGATTGCTCCTTAAGTCCAGTAAAAAAAGACGACTAAGTGGAATCACTGGATGGCATTCAAAGAACTATTTATCTAAAAAAGTATGAATTAGCAGTATCAAGGCAGTCTACTTTGCCATAAAGCTTATTCATGATGAGTTATGGATTGGGTAAAAAGCCCAATGATACACAATGTAAACACAGATGGGTGTTAAACACAAGTGATCTCAGAGGGTCTCGTGTACCTGCTATGGAATTTAAAACATCTTTAGAGAATGATGTATCCACAGAGTTTGCGTGCTTCATAGATGGCTGGGGTTGGAATCCTCCATTGGTGCTAAGATCATCTCTAGATCCCTGAAGTCAAAGCAAAGAAGACGCTAATGGGATTCACAATATGCCAACAGTGTTCACCCACATACGCTTTCTTCATTACACTTGCAATTAGACGGTATTTGATTTAATCTTTTAAAAATGGTTGGACTGCGTATCAGTGTATTTATGGACTATTTTATATAGTATCATTTTCATGGATTGCATTATGCATAACACTAGGACTAACGCTGTAGGACCAACAATGGACGCCAAATCACAAGGTTCAAACCCACCCGATGTTCCTCAGAAACCCTATACAGGGTTGCTATGAGTTGGAACCAACTCGACAGCACTTAACAATAGTCTCCAGTTTGGTACTCATGATAATCCTGTGATGTAGGTATTTTATACCATTTTATTAATAAGGAAATGGAAGCTTGAAAAAGTTGGATAATTTATCTAAGGTCACACTGTTACTTTAACAGTTCAGGGATTGTTGTTAAGCGTTGCTGAAGGTTCGACTCATAGTGACCTTATATAGGGTTTTTGAGGAGTGGCTGGTGAGTGTGAATCACCAACCTTGCAGTTTAAGTGGCTTTTCAGTCTGGTGCATTAGCCCACAGTGCCACACTAGGACTGCACTAGGTAGGCCTAAAGGTAGTGGAGAAGACAAAAGGGGCACAAATGTAGCCGAGACACCTGGTCGAACGGGAAAGATGTGCATGGTGAGCAGAAAAGAGTGAGAAAAAAAATACTGGAGAGATGGACTGGAGGAAGGTGACCAATCTAGAGCAAATGGATTGATAAATCATTTGTCTTGGATAAAACATCTCAAAATGTCTTGGAAGAGTTTTCTTTAAAGCCTACTTTTCTCACCATTGGAGAAGAATGGTCCCTCAGGGTAAGCATATTAAAAAGACAAATGCTTTATTAAAATATAATTTTGAAAGAAGATGCAAAGTTACCTGATTCGATGTATTAATGGTAAAAGGATACAGGTCCTTCAGGTAAATTCTTGGCATATTGTCCAGAAGCATGCCATAGAGGGGCATATATAAACTTGCTATCTGGGCCTGCTTTTCCTAGGTGAAATGGTAGCCAAAAGAAATGATTCACAAAAAGTCAATAGGCTTGTAGATTTCATACACTTAATGCAGTGAGCCATTGAACAGTAATTAGGGCAGAGAGATGGGGCAATCACTTACTGGTTCTCTGTATCGATCATCAAATGAATGCTTAGCCATAAGATTTTTTAGGACAGCTAAGGCTAAGTGCCTGATATCTTGGTCTTCCTGCAGAGCAAAGCCAACTTCTCGAAGCAGAATTCCAATTAGGAAGTGTTTGCGGCAAAATTCATTTGTGACTGAATATTCAGGCATTTCTTTAAAAAAAGATAGCAAAACAAGAACAAAAACAATGCCTTAAGTTATTGAAAATCAAATAATCACTTTTAAATTACGACATACTTAGCTATCAACTACTATCAATTCCTCACACTACTAAGAGAGATTCAGTAGTATAGTGTTGCCATAGAGATAAGATGGGTCCTCAATGAGTATGCAATCAGATAGGTTGATTTGCTGTGTACTGAAACACAAAGGCAAATTATGCATGATGTTAATTGTTTAATTTCATAAAAGCAGACACTATATGGTATGACTAGAATTGAGTAGAGAAAACATACATTTGTGTCTGAAATAATTAGAATTTCAGGATGGAGTGTTTTAGAGGATGTTTAAGGACAGGTAGGCTTTAGAGAAATGAGATTTGTGAGAGCAGGTGAAGCCAGTGGGTAGAAGGTGAGGAAGAGAAGGGACAGAGGTCATGATGGACAGAGTTCTGAAAGTCCAGGAATGTGGGGGAGCAGTAAGCCCAATGGCCAAAAGAAGAGCAGTGAGATTGAGACCTGAGAGATAGATTGGGATGATGGAGAGACTTAGGTGCAGACTCCTTTGTCAATGTTTGCATTCCTGCACCATTTGCATTGACTTCTGCAGGCAATAGGAACAGCCACGATGGCTTTTGAGATTGGAGGTCTGATTAGACCAATGAGTTAGGCAGTAGGGATATGTAGGTGAGGTTTACAACACAGGGGACTGTAATCATGGGAAGGGGAGAAGGGAAGAGATGGAGTTTGGACTGGGATGGTGGAAACTGAGTAGTCAAAGAAAATTCTCCAGAAACTGAGGGAGGGAGGAGAGAGTAGAACCAAAGGGGTCTGCCAAGTGTTGACCCTGAACTATGGAGAAAAGAATGTTAAATATTGGATTTATTCAAAATTGTCTAATGTGCTTTATGCATGTATTAAATATATATATGAAGCACATTGGAAATTTTATATTGTTATTGTTATTGTTCAGTGCCATCGAGTCAGTTCCGATTCATAGTGACCCTTTATAGGGTTTACGAGGAGCGGCTGGTAAGCTTGAACAGCCAACTTTGCAGTTCAAACCAACTTTGCAATCCAGTGTATTAATCCACAGCACCATATCAGGATTCCTATATAAGTATATACATACATATACACATACATATGTTGTTGTTAAGTGCTGTCAAATCAGTTCTGACTCATAGTGATCGATCCTGGATAGAGTTTCCAAGGAGCAGCTGGTGAGCTTGAACCACTGACCTTGAGGTTCAAATTCACTTTGCCATTCAGCGCATTAACCTACAATGCCACATCAGGATATATATATATGCCAATTCCTACTCATAGCCACCCTATATAGGGTTTCCAAGGTGCAGCTAGTAGGTAGAACTACTGACATTGTGGTTGGCAGTCCAGTGCTGGCTGGTCCTATGGTGCCACACCAGGAATATATGAGAATATATATATATATATATTTGTTGTTGTTGTTATGTGCCGTGGAGTCGGTTCCAACTCATAGTGACCGCGTCCAGGGTTTCCGAGGCTGTTAATCTTTACGGGAACAGAACGCCTCATCTTTCTCCCGTGGAGCAGCTGGTAGTTTCGAACTGCTGACCTTGCGGTTTGCAGCCTGATTCGTAACCACTACACTACCAGAGCTCCATATACATATATATATATATATATATATATATATATATATATAGAGAGAGAGAGAGAGAGAGAGAGAGAGAGAGACAGACAGAGACAGAGACAGAGAGAGACAGAGAGACAGAGAGAGTCCTGGTGTGGCATTGTGGGTTAATGCGCCAGACTGCAAAACTGTTTGAACCACAAGGTCGGTGGTTAAAGCTCACCAACCACTCCTTGGAAACCCTATACAGGGCCGCTATGGGTTGGAACTGACTCGATGGCACAATATACATCAATATTAATGGATTGTGATACAATTATTAATATTTAGATCATGCGAAATGAAATCCCATTATTTACCTGATGCATGTAATTCTTGAGTTGATTCTGAAGGTGTCAGAGGATCTAGATTTCATATAAATGAGTGAAAAGTTAAAATACATTCATACTCAGATATACACCTATATTTAGTAACTAAGTTTTATTTACACTTGAAAATTAAAATGCATTTTAGTTCTCAAATGCAAGTGTGTCCTTTCGACATTCCAGTTTTTCAGGAAGTAAGGCTGAGGCCAATCTGTCTTCCTAGAAAAGAACGCCATCAACAGAATTAACTACAGTTGTGTGAAGACGGAGAAGCTAAATATCATCAGCCAAAACATGACCACAAATCCTCAATTGTTCATACACAATTTCAAGGGGAAGCTGAAGAAAAACAAGTCCATTAGAGCCAAATATGACTTTGAGAATACCCCATGTGAATTTAGAGACAATCATAGGAACAGAGTTGACACATGGAACACTAATGATAATAGACCAGAAGAGTTGTGGGATGACATCAAGAGCAAAAAGTCATTAAAAAGACAGAAAAGATCAAAATGGATGTCAGAAGAGACCTAGATATTTGCTTTAGAATGAAGACTAGCTAAAGCAAATAGAATAAATGATGACGTAAAAGAGCAAAACTTAAGATTTCAAAGGGCAGGTTGCAAAAACAAAATGGTGCAATAAACTGTGCAAAGACCTAGAGACATGCTCAGCATTTCTCAAGCTGAAAGAACTTAAGAGAATATTCAAGCCTTGACTTGCAATATTGAAGAAATCTATGAACAAATGTTGAATGATGCAGGTGGGATCAAAAGAAGATGGCTATTTCGATCCCGTCATCAAAGGAAGATACACAGGGTCACTGTACCAAAAAGAACTGGGTGACATTCAACCATTTCCAGAGCTGGCACCTGGTTAATAACCTATGGTATTGAAGGAGAAAGTCCATACTGCATGAAAGGTATTGGCAAAAAACAAGGCTCCAGGAATTGACGGAATATTGGGTGAAATGTTTCAACATACCGATACAGTACTGGAAGCACTAAATTGTTTATGCCAGGAAATCTGGAAGATATTTCTGTGGCCAAACCACTAGAAGTGATCCATATTTGTGCCCATTCCCAAGAAAAGTGATCCTAAAGAATATAGAAATTATCAAACAATATCATGAATATCACATTCAAGCAAAATTTTGCTGAAAATAATTCAAAAACGATTGCAACATTACATTGACAGGCTGTTGTTGTTGTTATGTGCCGTGGAGTCGGTTCCGACTCATAGCGACCCTGCTGCACAGGGTTTCCAAGGCTGTAAATCTTTACGGGAGCAGAAAGCCTCATCTTTCTCCCGTGGAACAGCTGGTAGTTTCGAACTGCTGACCCTGAGGTTAGCAGCCCGATTCGTAACCACTACACTACCAGAACTCCTTCCACTGACAGGTAGCTGCCAGATATTCAAGTCAGATTCATGGAACGAATGATATTAGTTTTAGTATCAAATGGATCTCAGCTGAAAGCGGAGCAGACCAGAAAGATGTTTATTTGTGCTTTATTGACTATGCAAAGGCATCCAACTTCGTGGACCATAACAAACTATGGATAACACTGCAAAAAAATGGGAATTTAAGATCCCTTAATTGTGTTCTTGCAGAACCTCTCTATAGACCAAAAGGCATATATTTTAACAAAACAAGGGAATACTGAATGTTTTAAAATCAGAAGAGGTGTGCATCAGGGTTGTATCCTTTCACCATACTTATTCAATCTGTATGTTGAGAAAAGAAATCAAGAAGCAGGATTATATAAAGAAGAATGTGGCGTCAGAATTGGAGTAAGGCTCATAAAACAGCTTGTGATATGTAGATGATACAACCTTACCTGCTGAAAGGAGGAAGTCTTGAAGCACTTACTAATGAAGATAAAAAAAATAGAGCGTTCAATATAGATTACAACTCAATGTCAAGCCAGTAAAAATCCTCACAACCGGACCAACATCATGATAAATGAGAAAATATTGAAGTTGTCAAAGATTTCATTTTACTTGGATCCACAATTAATCCTCATGGAAGCAGCAGTCAAGAAATTAAATGACATGTTGCATCGGGGAAATCTGTTGCAAATGACTTTTTTAAAATGTCAGAGAATAAAGATGTCACTGAGAACTCAAGTGTAGCTGCTCTATGCCATGGTATTTTCAACCACCTCATATGCATGAGAATGCTAGACATGGATGAGGAAGACCAGATAAGAATTGATTGATTTGAATTACGTTATTGGTGGAGAATATGTCAAGTATCATGGACTGCCAGATGAAGACACAAATCTGTCTTGGAAGAAGTGCAGCCATGTGAGAAATTGTCAAGATGGTCCATCTTCAGAAATAAAGGGCACACGCACGAGAATGGTAGACTAGACATAGGCTGTTGATTCACACCCAGGGGTATGTGAGCAGGATGAATTGGGAAAGAGGGGAAAGAAATCTGTTCTAGGACTTGGAACTTTAAATAAAAATACAGTCATTAAGGCCATGGGCACCATCCAGGCTAGATCGGGAACCCTATACTAATGGGGGAGGGATTCTCAAAACAGGGGAGTAAAACTCTTTGCGAGTCAGCCATACAGCAATGTTTTCCTGTGTACTGGATTGGGCGCCTGATTTTGCACAATCAAATATAGAAAACCTCACTCTTGCTAAACTGAGCACAGATTGGATTTCTTGAGTGTTTGTCGGTAAGCACTTGTGATAACTCACTGGTAACCTCATAACCAAGAGGAACCAAGGCAGCATCTGGGGTTATCAACAATGTATATAAATCTGTCTTGGAAGAACTGTAGCCAGGATGGTAAAACGTCATCTCTCATACTTTGGACATGTTTTCGAAAGTGACCAGTCCCTGGGGAAGGACATCATGCTTGGTAAAGTGGAGGGTCAACAAAAACAAATGAAGGCCTCCAATGAGATGGATTGGCCCAGCAGTTGGTTAAAACATAATATCAATTGTGAAGATGGGCAGGACCAGACAGTGTTCTGTTCTGTTGTGCATGGGTATCTATGAGTTAGAGTGGAATCCATCATCGAACAGCAACACAAGCATAGTAAACAGAAGCCCCATTCTTACCTGAAACCCAAACCAATCCCTCTCTCTAGCCCAGAAGTATCAATACTTCTCACACTGCCTTCCCTCATCTTTCCCTCCTTTTTCTCTTTCTCCTGGATTTCTCACTCCCTCTTTTTCCCTTGCTTCCAAGATACATGTTTTCTTCATTTCTAGTAACTGCATTCTAACATAATTGCAAACACGAGCTGGTGACTTTAAATCAACTTATACTTAAAACACTGCTCTTCCTCTCAGTAATTATATATCTCAAATCAAAGTAAAGGCCTCATCACTAGAGTCAGAAATGACTTGAAGGCAGTTAGCACTAACAACATGGTGAAAGACAGTACAGCTCTGGGTTAAAATTCTTTGAATTACAATGGTCAGTTTTAGAATTCCGTTTGCCTTGTTTTAAGGGAAAGAGAAAAAGTGAAAACTTTAACGCTGTGGAATTGTATTCATTATTGTATGCTAATGACGTCTGCTTTTCAGTCATATTGTCTGGGTCTGAAGTCTGTGTGACATCTTCAGGCAGAACTATGACCAGGGAGTTGGAAAAGCGACAACTAAGAGCAAGAGAAACAAAGTTGTTCACTTTGGAGGAACTGAAGAGAATTCTGAGAACTCTTACCTGGTATGTTTGCTGAATGTATGGGCAGACACAGAGGGATAAAATGTTCGTGTTGACATACTTCTTGCAGAAAGTCAAATTTATACTGGCACAGAGTCTGAAAAACAGGACAATTGAGTATTATTTGCATACCAAGAAATTTCATAAAAACAAAAAATATATTGAATCTATCACCTAAAAAAGGAGATGTAGTTATTTGGTGTGGTGATGTATAATGGTTTCTGTCCCCTCCAAAGTGACGAATGTAGTTAGGTTCTCCAGTTTTGGAAACTGATCAAGGTCTCCAGATGGAACGATGCCATTTTTGACTTGATGCTCAGTTTCTATGACATAGGTTTTCAAAGACTAAACAATTCTACTGAGTCATGTTTCCTCATCTTTTAGCTTACTCTATAATAGGAAGACCCCCAGTGAGATGGATTGACAAAGTGGCAGCATCAATGGGCTTGAGCGTGGCAACAATTGTGAGGTTGCCCCAGGACCGGGCAGTGTTTCATTGTGTTGTACATAGGGTGGCTATGAGTCGGTACTGACTCGATGGCACCTAATAACAACATAATAGGCTTGGAGTCCTGGTGTGGCACTGTGGGTTAATGTGCCAGGCTGTAAAGCCATTCGAACTGAAAGGTCGGTGGTTCAAGCTCACCAGCTGCTCCTTGGAAACCCTATACAGGGTTGCTATGGGTCGGAACTGACTTAACGGCACTTCACAACAACATGAGTTTAAACTGACAACAAAAACACCCTCTTAAAAAAGTATTTAGAGTGAGGATTAAATTCTCAAATGAAATCAAATGACATTTAATCATTTGATTGAACTCTGGTCAAAAGGGAATTAGTACTGCCCCCCAAAACTGATGCTCAAACTCATAAAGACAACCTGAAAGGTTAGCTGAAGATCATTATTTCCAACAATATGCAACAAATCCACTGTAGTTTTGGTGTTGCACTGCAGGATAAGCATTGGATGGCTAACCATGAGGTCGGAGGTTCGAACCCACCAGCTCCTCCTCAGAAATGCTATAAGTTGGAACCGACTTGGCGGTACTTAACAACAACAACAACTCCTCTTGCAGGACTCCTAGTGTGGCAAGGTAGAATCAGCACTGGACTTCGAACAATAAGGTCGGTGGTTCAAACCTACCAGTTGCTCTTTAGAAACCCTACACAGGGTCTGCTTGAGTTGGAACCGACTCAATGGTACTTAACAACAACAACACCCTCCAGTAGGGTTGCTATGAATCAGAACTCATAGCAGCCATGAGTTTTTATCTTCCCTCCTAAGGATCCTCCATGGTGGCACAACAGGTAAGTGCTCAATTGCCAACAGAAAGATAGTTTGAATGAACACCCGCTTCTAATGAGTCACCTTGGAAACCCGGTGGGGCCAATTTGAATTGGAAAGGACTGGGAAGAGGCAAGCATGTGATCCAAGGCTGATCAGTCACATGCTTCTATGGAATGTGAATCTTTAAAAATATAGTTTGTAATAGTTTTTGGTGGTAATGTACACAACTCAACATACATCCATTCACAATTTCTACATGTTCAGCTCAATAACATTGGTTACATACTATATAGTGTGTCATGATTCTAGCTCTACCCTTATTGGTTCATCACCAGTAACCTAGACTCGGTCCTTTAAGATGATCATCTGTGTTTCAGATTAACTGTGGCCAACGTATACTCATCTACATAATCCTGAAGCAAACACTTCATATTAATCAGGTCAAATGTTGCTTACTTTAATAATGGCTTTAAGGGATAGTTTGGGCTCAAGGTTCAAAGATTTATCCATACATTCAATTTGGGGGTTCCCCTAGTCTCAGTGGATTCAGTAAGTCTGCTTTCCATACATATTTAAAGTTCTGTTTCATATTTTTCTCCTTTTGATCAAGGTTGATCTATTGGGTCCTTGATGGAAACGTGGAACATAAATTTTAAAGAACACGTGAAGAGGAAGAAAATAGTCCCAGCTGATTACTCTAAGCAGCAGAAACATCCTGGAATCTGGAACTGGGTTGGCCCATGGTCTCTTCTAAGTTTGGTTCCGTTTCATCAATGTTTCTTCTTGTTGTTGTTAGATGTCCTCGAGTTGGTACCGACTCACAGAGACCCTATACACAACAGAATGAAACACTGTCCGGTCCTGGGCTAACCTCACATATGTTGCCACGCTTGAGCCCATTGATGCTGCCACTTGGCCAATTCAATCCTCTTTTTCTCTGACCCTCCACCTTACCAAACATGATATCCTTCTCCTGCGGCTGGTCCCTTCTGACAATATGTCCAAAGTATGAGAGACAAAGTCTGGCCATCTTGGCCTCCAAGGAACACTCTGGCTGCACTTCTTCAATACACATCTGCTTGTTCTTCTGACAGCCCATAGCACTTTCAATATTCTCCTCCAACATCATAACTCTATTTACTCTTGATACCCTTCCAATAAATTTCCTTTTACTCAAATTGAAGTCAATTTCTGTTGCTTGCAATCCATAGAACATTAATTGATACAGTTGTCATGATTTGGCTCATGGTACTATGGGCTAGACTTTGGGATGCTAACCATTAGTTTGGAGGTTCAAATTTACCATCCACTCCACAGGAGAGAGTTGAGGTTGTATGCTCCCATAAAGATTTATAGTTTTGGAAACCATATGTAAGGTCACCAGAAGTTAGACTCAACTCCACAGGACTGGGTGAGTGGGCCCATTTTGAGTCTTATTTTACACAAGAGCCCCTCGAACATATATCATGTTGTTAAGTACCGTGGAGTCGGTTCCGACTCATAGTGACCCTGCGCAGGGTTTCTGAGGCTGTAAATCTTTATGGGAGTAAAACACCTCATCTTTCTCCTGCAGAACCACTGGTAGTTTCGAACTGCTGACCTTGAGGTTAGCAGCCCGATTTGTAACCACTGTACTACCAGAGCTCCTTAACATATGCCATACTGTAGCTTAATGGTTCTTAAAGTTGGGAATGCTTAAGAATCTTCAGAAAATCTTGTTAAACCACAGCAATTCTGTTGCCAGGTAATGTTGCTGTACTGCTCTAAGAATCACACTTTGAAAAACTCTGCTCTGGACTCAGTATTTCTTCCCCATCTCTGTATTCAGAACCTGGCCTGGATGGGGTGACCAACAGTCTCTATCTTGCTAACACTGAGAAGTTCCAGGAAGTGGGATTTATAGTGCTAACACCAAGAGAGGCCCTGGGACACAGGGGCCACACAAATTGCTGGCAAGAGCCATTCCTTTTACAACCCACAGGAAATAGAAACATGAATAAGTCCATTCCATTCTCTCTTGCTCCCTACTAATGGAGGAATTGGGAAGCTTACTCGGCAGATACAGCATTTTAAATGGCTGTCTCTCCTTGGCATAGGGATTCTTTTCAGATTAAGAAATGGATAGGTTAATGCTTTAGGTAGATAATCAGAGAGAACAAGTTTATTCATCATGCCACAGGTAAGTAAGCAAGGACTCCTACACCTGGTTCTTACCTTGAGATCACCTGAGGAGAACATGCTGATGTAATTGTTCACTATCTTAAACACAAATCCACGGTCCATAAACGTAAAGCAGCGCTGAAAAAGGACAGAAGTCTAAATTCACACAGTTTTTACTTTAAGAACAAGTCAATCACCGAGCAGTTGGTGTAATAACTATGAATTGGAAAACTAATCTGTGATGTAAACATTCACATAAAGCAAAATAAAATGCTACCAAAAAAAAAAAAGGAGAATTTTGAAGGTTTTAGAAAAGATGATTAAGAAGATTAGATTAAGATAGGAATTAAGATAGGATTGAAACTAAATGTGATATATACTAAGTATTTGAAAAATCATCAAAACATGTTCCAGCATTAACGCACATGTAGCAATTACTGAAAATTCTAGGTATAGTAACAAACCCAAAATGTGCAAGTATATATTTATTAGTTTTGTAAACCACCAGCTGGGGCTTTACAAGCAAATATAGTCATGCCGTTAAAAAAACACAAACAAACTCAGTAACTGTATTTTTTAAAAATAGTTTCAGGTTTATAGAACTATTGAGAAATTAGTACAGGGAATTCCTAGAGACCCCTCCCTCCCCGGCACACAGTTTCTCAATTATTAACATCTTGCCTTACTGTGGCACATTTGTTACAATGAATGAACTAATATTGAGTTGGTTGCAAATCATAGCAACACCATGTGACTGATATCTGATCATACTCTTTTGTCCAAAGGATGTTTAAAAGACTATCCTTCAAAGTTGTTGTTGCTAAGTACTGTCGAGTAGGTTCCCACTCATAGGAACCCTGTCTAGGGTTTATCAGGAGTAGTTGGTGGGTTTGAACCACAGACCTTGCAGTTCAAACCAACCTTGTGGTCTAGTGCATTATCCTACAGTGCCACACCAGGACTCCATTCATTCTTTAGGTTATGTAATTCTACATTAATAATGAAACATTACAAATTAGTCATCACTGGTATTTAACAACTGAAATGGATTCTAACACAACAGTTGTTCCAAGAGGACAGGATTTCCGGGCACCAGTGTGTGGCAGATACAAATGTCCTTGCTTCGAATGTATCCATTGTCATAAAGTGCATGGTAACCACATATGTTGACAGTTACACTGCCCCATAGGGTTTTCAGGAAACATCTTATTGTTCTAAAAAAAAATTCAGCAGGTGAGTTTGAGCCATGGTGTCATCAGGACTCCCAATAAACCAATATTGATATGCTAGTATTATTAGGAAGTAAGAGGAACCCTGGTAGTTTTATGGTTAATTGATAGATCAATGGTTGGAACCCACCCGTGGCAATGTGATCAGTTCCCGTAAAGGTGTTGTTGGTAAGTACCGTCTGTGTAGGGTTTCCAAGGAGTGGCTGGAGGGTTTGAACCACTGACCTTGAAGTTCAAACTGACCTTGTGGTCCTGTGCATCATCCTGCAGCGCCCCATAAACATAACAGCCTAGGAAACATCATGAGCCATTCCTACACTGCCACACAGGGTCCCTGTGAGTGGAAATCAACCTAACAGCACATGACAGCTACTTTATAACGTCTATAGATTACATTAACGATCATTTATTCTGTTGAACAGTTCCATGGTTATTGTTGTTAAGTGCCGTCAAGTTGGTTCCGATACTTAGTGACTCTGTATAGGGTGTCTGAGGAGCATTTGGTGGGTTTGAACTGCTGATCTTGTGGTTTGTGCTCTAGCGCTGAGCCAAGCACCACATCAGGGGTCTATACAGTTCCATAGGTTATGACAAATGCAGAGGAGTTCCTGTAGCCACAATTATAGTATCATACAGGATAGTTTTAGAGTCATAACCCTGTTCCCCTATCTTTGACTTATTTACTTCTTGCTCTTTCCTTCTTGAACCTCTGGAAACTTCTGGTCTTTTTATAGTCACTAAGATTTGTGTCCTGGTATGGCACTGCAGGATAATGCGCTGGACTACAAGGTGGTTTGAACCAAAAAGGTGGTGGTTCCAACTCACCAGCCACTCCTTGGAAACCCTAAACAGTTGCAATGAGTCAGAACTGACTTGACAGCATTTAAAAACAACAAGGTTTTTGTGGAGTCCTGGTGTAGCACTGTAGGATAAGCACTGGATGGTGTTGTTAAGTGCCATTGAGTCAGTTCCAACCCATAACGACCCTGTATAGTGACCCTATGTTTCTGAGGAGCAGTTGGTGGGCTTGAACTGCTGACCTTGCAGTTCAAACGGTTTTGCAGTCTGGTGCATTAACCCCACAGCACCACACCAGGATTCCAAGCACTGGATAGCTAACTGTAAGGATGGCAGTTCAAATTTACTAGTTACTCCTTGGAAACCCTGTGCAGGGTTGCTATTAATATAATTTGAAAATGTTTTATTGCATTAAAAATGAAATGTGGCTGGATTGAAGCCCACCAAAGATGCATTATATTGATTTTCCACCTCTCTCCATAGCTTTTAGGGCTCTACTACTAGTATTTATAAATTCTTACTTCCACCCACAATGTTCTTGTGTCTCCGATAAAAAAAACAAGTTCAAGGTTTTATCAGTCAAGAATTGGACAGGAGAAGGAAGAGAAGAGAAACATTATCTTCTTTTTTATCGAGTACATTTGGTTAAGCATATTAAAAGATCCTAATTCCTCACATTAGCTTTTATTGTTTTTGTTTTTGTTTCACTTTGAATTTTTTTTTTTTCAAAATGAATTCCTGCAATCCAAAGAAATATAACCAATCCAGTTTAGTAAGCAATATTTTAGTTGATAATTTCCCTTTTGTGTGATCAGTGCATTAACGTTTCATTGTATAAACAGGAACTGGATGGAATATAGCATAAAGCCCCAGAGATTTTCTCCTTCAGGCTTAAAAACATAGATGTTTTCTTTTTCCTTTCAAAATAGCTATAAGTAGTATGACTTGACATCACTAAAATACCCTTTTATTTTACCTGGTCTTGTTTCCATGAGACTCCCAATTGTGAAAAAAAAAAAAGATGAAAAAGTATCTTACACACATGCAAGACAGACAGATGAAAGTGCTCATATAAGAGTTCTGGTTTTGACATCTCATCATAAATAATACAGGTATGACATATAGAAGATTCTCAATCTCTTGTATCCACTGTACTTGGGGCTTGAGGAAAATTGCTATCTAGCATAAGTATACCTTAAGAAATCTGGCAACACTATGGTTTGCTCTTCTTGTTTCGTCAATTGCATCTTTGTATTTCCAAATCACATGGTCAGATAGGACCATTACAAGAGTGTCCAATTCCTGGTGGTAAGATTCAGGAAATCTTTGAGCGCGTGAAAGCTAAGGAAAAATGGATTATTTCTTTTTAATTATGCCATTTAAAACATAAACCCTGGGTAAAATAAAACTAAGAGATACATTTCATTTCATACATTTTCAAGTGGAAAATTGTAACTTCATTCCATTTTTAAACCCCTTCATAGGGATATATCACAATGAGAACAAAGTGTGAAGATATCTGCACTTTCAGAGATGAGCGCAGAGGGTAAGGGGAATCATGAATGGATCAGAGCAGAGGTTGATGATGAATACCCCACAGAGCTCTGTGACCAATTGCAGTGATTGGGATGTAGTTTATCCAACTTGCCTCCTACTTGTATGTTCCCTTTCAGGAAGAGAGGTCCATGGGAACTGTGGAGGAGGTACAGATTCCCCAAACTGTACAATACACGTGCAATGAGGGGGAAGACATGGTGTGCATAGATTAGATGTTCCTTCAAGATAGAATCTTCTAGGAGGAACTGCTATGGCTTGGGGAACTACTCAAGCATTCATATCCATGCAACACTCCCCAGCTCTGAACAATGACCAGCAAGGGACACAGCACATGGGTATTAGAGCCGGGATATTTCTGCCCAACACAAGATTTCTCTAATACACACCTTTTGCTATCAGGCTACCCATTGGACCAACTGAAACTTTCTTCCCTATAAGGGTTCTTTCTAGCTAGACTTCCTTCCTGACCCTGTCCTTCCATGGAACCAGAATTTCCTAGTTCTTTTTCCTGTTCTTTTTACCATCCTTTGATATTTATCCCAATAAATCTTTTGCATTTCTAATTTGACCTAGTTCTGACATCTAGTTCTGAAGAACTAACTATAGAACTAAAACATTTCCCCCTACTTACAAAGCAATCAGTGCAATGCAACTGCTGAGGTTTACCAAGTAAACAAAATTGGAGCTAGAGGGAATATGTTTATTCACATAATTGTTGGAAAATATTATGTTACCTAAGATCTTACCTGAATTTTATTTGTGTCGATCAAGTGCTGTGCCATTGATTTTAGGATAATTGCAAAGAAGAACCAGGAATGCTGATAGGAAAGAAAAAAAGAAAAGAAAAGACAAGCAAAGTATTTATTATGCTATAATAAAATACTGATCATTCTATTCTTTCTTACATGTCAGTCTTCAAATGTGTTCTTTGAAATCCATGTTTCAGAGCAATAATATATTCTGCATTATGTTAGGAAGGTCTTTATTAAACTTCAATGCTGTTGTCAAGTGCTGTTGAGTTGGTTCCGACTCATAGCGACCCTGTATAGGGTTTCTGAGAAGCAGCTGGTTGGTTTGAACCATCTGACCTGGGGTCCTGTGCTTATCCTACAAAGCCACACCAAGACTCCAAAGTTTCAACGGTAAATACAAAATAAGATAGTTTATTTCATCAATTGTTTTAAAACTGTTTAAACTGTTTTAAAACTGGTTCATTGGCTTAATGGACCACATGAGCCTCAGTTTCCAGGAACCTAAGAACTAACGAATTCGACGGTGTCCGGCCACTACTCCCAACTGCTCTGAAAGGGATCACACTGAAAGATCCTGGCTAGAGTGCGAGAAAATGTGGAACAAAACTCAAATTTTTAAAAAAAGGCCAAGTTTACTGGTCAGGTAGAGATCTGGAAGTGAACTGACCCCTGAGCCTCAATTGTCAACCGAGCAATAGATAGATACAGGAGGGAGAAACCTAGTGAGACACACGTGCCATAGAATTTGAGATCCAAAGGGCATGATTTACCTAAGGACAAAATTCAGAAGGCTGGGGAAGGAAGGAGGAGTGTAAACAAGAGACGCAGGAAGGAAGTGGGGTAAAGTGAGGTTACACTGAGGGAATTGTAATGGACATGAAATGAAGTGTATAAATTTGTTGAATGTAAAACTGATGATTTGGTCTGCAAACCTTTACTCAATTTTTTTTTTTTTTACTTCCTAAAAGAGGAGACAACCAACCCCAGACTTTCCAAACTGCCATTTTTACTCAATAACTGATTTTGTCACCCCATACATTTTGTAATTAAAGGCTTGATACTAACCCAGCCTCAAACTGGCAATTTTTAAAGACAACTCCCAAATTTTCAGGATCTGGAACTGGATTAGTTTAAAAAAAATAAAGAAAGAAAGAAAAGAAAATCTACTTACAGAACGAGTGAAATACTGTCCATCTATTCCTCAATCAGCAGACTCATCTTATGACTTCTCATTTAGCTTTGTATATTACTGGCAGACAAAGAAAACCAGCATCCAACTAACCTGAAATGTCTGATTTGATAAATCTAATAAATGTCTTCCTATTTTAAAAAAAGTTTAAGTTAAAAAAGGTACCAGGAGTCCTGGTGTGAAGCTATGGGTTAATGCACTGGACTGCAAAGTCGGTTTGAACCACAGGTCAGCGGTTCAAGCTCATCAGCCACTTCTCAGAAACCCTATACTCTGATAGCGTAGTGGTTACAAATCAGGCTGCGAACCTCAAGGTCAGCAGTTAGAAACTACCAGCTGTTCTGCATAAGGCTTTCTGCTCCCGTAAGAATTTACAGCCTCGGAAACCCTGTACAGGGTCATTATGAGTCGGAACTGACTCTATGGTACATAACAACAACAAATGGGTCAGAACTGACTCGATGGCACTTAACAACAACAACAACAACAGTTTCCTTAACATGACTGACTAATATTAGCTTTGATAGCATAGTGGCTATGAATCAGGCTGCTAACCTCAAAGTTGGTAGTTTGAAACTACCAGCTGTTCCACAGGAGAAAGATGAGGCTTTCTGCTCCTGTAAAGATTTACAGCCTCAGAAACCCTGTGCAGGGTTGCTATGGGTCCTAACCGACTCCACGGCACATAACCACCACCAGTAGCGTAATGGTTATGAATTGGGCTGCCAATCTCAAGGTCAGCAGTTCGAAACAACCAGCGGTTCTGCAGGAGAACCATGAGGCATTCTGCTCCCGTAAAGATTTACAGCCTCGGAAACCCTGTACAGGGTTGCTATGGGTTGGAATTGACTCGACAGCATTAACAACAACATGGATTGAATTGTGCCTTCATACACATACAGGTTGAATAAGTATGGTGAAAGAATACAACTCTGGTACACACTTTTCCTAATTTTAAACCATTCGATATTCCATTGTTCTGTTCAAAGCCTTCATTTTGCTCAAATCAACCATCAGCACTCACAGTAGCAGCAGTCAAGAATTCAAACGTCGTATTGTACTAGGCAAATCTGCTGCACAAGACCTCTTTAAAGTGTTCAGGAGTAAAGCTGTCAGTGTGAGAACTAAGATGCGCCTGACCCAAGTCATGTTTTTTCAATAGCCTCATATGCATGTGAAATTTGGACAGTGAATAAGGTAGACCGTAGGAGAATGATGCATTTGAATTATGGTGTTGGAGGAGAATATTAAAAGCACAATGGACTTCCAAAAGAACAAATCTCTGTTGGAAGAAGTACAGCCAGAATGGTCCCTGGAAGCCAGGATGACCAATCTTCATCTCTCAATACTTTGGACATATTATCAGGAGGGACCAGTCACTGGAGAAAGACATCGTGTTTGATTAATAATAGGGGGATTGGAGAAAAAGAGGAAGATCACCAATGTGATGGATTGGCAAAAGCAGTAAGTTCAAATGTAGCAACAATTCTGAGGTTGGCACAGGATCGGGGGGTGTTTTGTTCGGTTATGCATAGGGTCACTATCAGTGGGTACCGACTCATGTCCCCTAACAACAAAATAAATGTGTGTGCTTCAGCTTTTGGGGGTAGACGACAAGATGCTGCTCTGCTTTCTCTTTTCTGTCAGTATATTCATTAATAGAGCATATTAATCTCTTTCTTGCTAATTTCTCTCTTATGCCTTTAAAAACTAATGGACAGTATTTGTGCTATACTTGGCTTTTTTTTTTTTTTTTTATGTTTTAAGTCCATTCACAATGGTCATTTATTCTAACTGAAGTCAAAGGATTCAACTTGGATCTATTCTACTTTTACAGGCATCTGTTCTCTTGAAATAAACACCCTCTCTTAACATGTCTATATTCTGTATTTTCAGTTTGAAGCTTATGCCAGAAACTACAAGAGAAATGATCTAAGAAAATCAATTAACCTTAGCACCTTCTAGTAGTGAGTATGACCCATCCCTAGTACTAATAAATAAATGATCACCTCTAAATGATCCTGTGGAATCCTGGTATTGCACTGTAGGATAAGTATTGGACCTCATTGTTGGTTTGAACCTCAAGGTCGGTGGTTCAAACTGACCAGTTGCTCCTCAGAAACTTTATCCAGGGTTGCTACGAGTCAGAACTCACTTGACAGCACTTAACAACAATAACAACAACACATTCTTTTTAGCCACAACAAAAGACACACAATATCCACAAAAGTGAACTCAAAGCTCTCAACACTTGTGAAGATGGCCTAGAACAGAGCGATGCTTCATTCAGTTCTAACGGAAGTAGCTAAGAATCAGAGCTGACTCGATGCCAAGCTACAGCAAAAGCGAACATTTTACCTTCAGAACATGTTTTACTGCTGTTGAGTCATTTGATTTCAAAAGACCAGTCACATTTTTAGCCAGTTCCTCATGTATGGTTCTCTCCTTGTATGTCCTGGTTTTGAACACGAACTGAAGGAAATCCAAAATGTTAATAAAGTTAGATGCTTATTTTCTAAAAGCTTCAAAAACAAAACAAAATGGCACACTAATAATACATCTCTCAAAGTTACCTGCTCATTCCAGATTTTGCCATGAACTAAATGAAGGCCCAATGATAAGATTAGGACAGACCTGCTCCTACTTAGCACTTCGTACAGGTAGGACATTGCTCACCTAAGCTCTCCTTGAAGCTCTTATCAGAGACATGGAGAGACAGAGTCAGAGAGCAATTCAGCAGGTTCAAGGAAACATGGAGAGCTTTGACCCACCTACTTATAGGACACATTTCCCCTTCTCCTTCCTTCCATGGGAACAGGTGGCATGGTAGCAACTCTTCATCCTGAAAGGGGTAGAGCACCCACTCAAATAGCCAAGTGGGGAAAGCGAATGCCTTCCAGAGGCCAGCAGGGAGCTCCCCAGTAAGCCCAGTGTCTACATCGCATGCTTAGAGACATTTATAAAGGGTTTCGTGAGCATTTGTCGTCAGTAAGATAACAAATGAGGCTCACTTTTTTCATCTCAAAAAAGTACATTTAATGGTTTTAGTTTTCAGTATTTTCATCATTTCTCCTTAACTTTAAGGCTATTAAGAGCAATGCATGCACATGTGTTCATTTCAAATATAATATGCTTACTCAGAAGCCTATGATTCTACTAATGAGCTCATTGCTTTCAAGGAAGGGAATCTATTCCACAGAGTCACAATTCAGACCTCAAAGTAATGAAGAGTGAAGGCAGGCAAGAAACTGGCTCACCGCAGACAGAGATTTCATTTAGATCTAGCACCAGATCTTTGATTGTTACAGTGCAGTGGATCCCAACTTCTCCAAAAGCATCCCAGAGAAGAACAAAGTTAATAGACACATGAAAGTAACCCAAATCAAGGAGTGATGTGATGTCCCCCAATTATGAGAATAACTCATTGCCATCTGTCTAGTCCTATGCACAGCTATTCAACTTAGGGGCATTGTAACTACTTCTGCAATATTTTTATTTCTAAAGTTTGACTAGTATGTGTCAGAGTCACAGATCACTGTACATCATGGCAGAATTACATTGACTTTAGACACACATGTTTAAAACATATATGTGTGCATTTCGGATACTGCTGATGGGGTGAGTTAGCAGCATTTAGCATCACTGAACTTGAAATGGTGTTTAGTTTACTTCTGAATAAATATCAATTATACTGAGCATCACATATTTCAAGGATATGAAAACATGTATTTCCAGTTCATCTATTTTCATTATACTTCTAGGTGGGTGAAGGGGCTTCATATCTATTTATATGCTGAAAAAATTGTTCCCATCTTGGCTGAATAAATCAGACTTGGCCAAGGTCAGGTTGTCCAACATGTACCACAACAGGAGCCCAATCAGAGAATACTAGTCAAATCACAGGATCCAACTGGCTCGTTCCATCTAAGTCACAGATAAGAACACTGAGGTCCAAAGAGGCAGATGGCTCAAGTTAACTCTGTGACTTTGGCTTAGCCTCTCATCCCCTACTTTCTAGAGTAGTACTCTTTGTAGAGTAAAGTACTAGCTGACTATTGGGTTATAATTATTTCAGATATACCTGTATCAAAATATATTTTAAGATACCCTTAGGAATTATTATAAACTTGAAATAAATTCCACAAAGGTAAAGTTCTTGTGGAATTTGTAAAGTTTGTACCACTCTTGTAAAGTGGTACAGTGGGTTAAGCATTGGACTACCAGCAGAAAGACTGGGTGGTTAGAGCCCACCAACTGCTCCATGGGAGAAAGAAGAGACAGTCTGCTTCAGCAGAGATTTCCAGCCCTGGGCACTATGGTGTGATCCCTTTCTACAGCTCCTACAGGTCTCTATGAGTTGGAATCCACTCGGTGACAGTGAGTTTGATTTGGGGGGATTTTTATATTAACAAAACAATGAAATGGTCTTATTAAGATTTAAATAATATATCTTGATTTATAAATATATAAATAATGAAAAATAAATCTACTAGGATGTATTTGGAGTCCTAGTGTGGCATTGTGGGTTAATGTGCTGGATAGCAAAGCCAGTCTGAACCACAAGGTCTGTAATTAGAGTTCACTAGTTGCTCCTTGGAAATCCTATACAGGGTCGCTATGGGTCAGAAGTGACTTGACGGCACTTAACAACAACAACAAGAAGGATGATTTCCAATATGCCTCATCATGAGCGTCACAGGTAAAAGAGTCTGAGAGTCGATTTGAGGTGCTATGCTTTCTAGCCTTGGCTCTCATATAGTTGCAATACCTTAGGATTCTTAATATAACTTTTAATGATTTCACTGCAATAAAGGAAACATGCATCTGCTGAAATAGAGGTCCCGGAGTGTAAGACAGTCTAAGGAAGTCTTTTCCTTCTCGGTCACCTTTGGAGATTGAAATGGAAAGGTAATGCAGACATCAAGAGAGTCAAAAGTTCTCCAGAGGATTCTGTGAAATGACAGCCCCATCACTGCCCTGAAGTGTAAGTGACATCTTTAGTGTAGGAGGAACTGGCTTTCTGCATTAGACGCAGATGATGAATTATACAAAAAGCTCAATGACTCGGTACAATTACACCACAGCTAAATTATTGCTACGCATTTGATTAATTCTGGCACACTGGGCTATTTCAAAGGCCAGTATACACTCATACTTAGGCATTTGGGAAGACGTCCACAATTTCTGGCAAGTAGAAAATAATCTAGAAATTGCAATTAGCACTGGGAGTTTCTTATAGGTTTTTAGCAGAGAAGACCCAAATTCTTCTCTAGTAACTTTTCTAGACATCTAGAATATGTGAGACCTTCCTTTAATTTAACATTTTTAAAGAAGGCTATGTCTAAAAAGAAGATTTTATTATGCATAGAAAATAAAAATGTATGTCCTTGAAGTATTAGGAAGCGTCCCTGGGTGTTGCAAATGGTTAAGATGCTCAGTTACTAACTGAAAAGGTTGGAGGTTTGAGTTCACCCAGAAGTGCTTTGGAAGAAAAAACTGGTAATGTGCTCTGGAAAAATCAGCCATTGAAAATGTGATGGAGCACAGTTCTACTCTGACATACATGGGACCACCAGGAGTCAGGGTTACCTCATGTATCAGCAAGTCATTAAGGTCCTCTTACTTAGGCTAGGTTAGTGCTTTCCTTTGCATTCAAGAAGACAACCTTCTGGTAGAAAGTGTGATGGGCAAACATCATCCCAAGTTCACTGACAGTAATTCAGAGGCCAGCTGGCAATGAATAGAAAGATGTCTGAGTGAACACTTGACAAAAGACATTGGAAGAAGCAGTGCACGTTGATGGGATGTATGGACAAGTGGTTCATTCCAGAAGGTAAAAGGTCTTAACATACCAGAAGCAGGTACAGAAATACAGTAACTGGGAAAATGAAAGAATGCCTGAGAAAGCAATAGAGAGAGCTGAGAAAACATTCCAGAAGAATCACAGAGCATTCAACAAACCAATAGGAAAAGGATCTTCCTTAAATTCATATGGAAATTTCATTTGCTTGGAATTGTTTCTTCAAAAGGAAAACACATTGGTGTTTTCCTATTTCCTCCCGTCCCCCATGCAGTCATTTACATTTTTACACATAATTTATATATTTGCCAATTATTATGACGAGACAAAAGTTTATGTAGCTAAAGAGAATGGTAAGGGTCTCGGTGGTACAAGCAATTTGCACTCAAGTAAATCTGGGCGGTTTTAAGCCATGGAAGGAACGTCTGATGATGTGCTTCCTTAAAGAAGACAGCCAAGAGATCCTATGATCCTATAGGACAGTTCTGTCACACGAGGTGGCCATGACTCAGAGTGAACTTGAAAGCAATAGGCGGTTTTCTTTCTGTCTCGTTAAAGGGGAATGTTTAGCATTACTGTAGTGAGCACATTCAGCTTGTAACTTATTGAAGACAGGAGATGAGACGAACCACATAGCACATGGGAATATGGCCAAAGTCCAAAATGGCTATTTCATACCTTTATGTATGACTGGACCGAATGGTCTAGCTGTTCTTCATGGCACTTGGCCACAATGTCGGTCAGAACCCTGGAAAAGCAAAATTGTTTAGTGGTCTTTCACGAGGAGACAGAAAAATACCTGTGTAGTTTGTCAGTAGAGTGTTTAGGAAACAAGGGAATTAGCAATAGGATGGAAAGAAGGCAAGGAAAGAGGGAGGGAGGGAGAGAGGGGGGAAGGAAGAAAAGAAAGGAAGAAAGAGCGAGTCAATCAATCAATGAGTTTCAACTCCCCCACCTCCGCACAGGAGTCCTGGTGTGGCATTGTAGGATAAGCGGTGGGCAGCTAACCAAAGGTTGGTGGTTCAAACCCATCAATCATTTCTTGGAAACCCTATACAGGGTCTCTATGAGTCTGCCTCTAGTGACTCAACAGTACTTAGCAATAGTAACCTCCATACAGGGCATATAATAACCTCCATACAGGGCATATAATAACCTCCATACAGGGCATATAATAACCGCCATTCAGGGCATATAATAACCTCCATTCAGGGCATATAATAACCTCCATTCAGGGCATATAATAACCTCCATACAGGGCATATAATAACCTCCATACAGGGCATATAATAACCGCCATTCAGGGCATATAATAACCTCCATACAGGGCATATAATAACCTCCACACAGGGCATGTACTAACTATTACCCACATAAACTTTAAACCTCCAAGCACTAAGGCTATGACTGCAATGTTGTTGTTGCTGTTCTTGTTAAGTGCTGTCGACTCAGTTCCAACTCATAGAGACCTTGTATAGGGTGTTCGAAGAGTGGCTGATGGGTTTGCTGTAGTGTTTATCCTACAGTGCTACGTCAGGACTCCAGGGCTGAGAGAAACCATTTTAAATATGTGCCTGAGTTCCAGGTGCATATTGTGGTATTTGGGCTTGCTGACACTGTCTTTTAGAAAAAGGATCAGTGTTAGTTACTTGTTAAAAACTTAAGCCTCTTCACCTCTGGTTAATGATCATATACTATTTTAAAGGGGCCTGTCTTCTTACGTATGGTTTTCCAAAGCAACCTAGATATGTTTTTGGAGATAACAGTAGATGAAGATGCAGTCTTCCCCTTTTCATAGGATTAGTACATCTAGGAGCAGAATTTACACAGGCTAATTTGTCTCAATGGTACTGTCAGTTGCTCCATGGATGTGGTGCTGAGGATTACCTCAGAAGTTCAGTAGATCTATTAGCGAAAACAGAGGAAGTCCCCAATGAGATGGACTGCCACAGTGATAGTGCCAACGGGCTCAAACCTAACAACAATGATGGGGATGGCACAGGACTAGGCGGTGTTTCGCTCTCTTATGCAAAGGGTCACTGTGAGTTGGAACAGACTCGAAGATACCTCGTATCAACAGGCACAGCAGCTGAACAGTTTGGGTCTTACCAATTGGACACACATATTGCTGCTGAAAGGGCCATCAATTGAAGGAACAACTGGGAAGGTTTTAACATGGGTTCCAGTGCTGTTTGGTGGAGGGGACTTTAGAAATTCCTTAACTTCCTAGCACTTTATAGACTTTGTTTTAAAAACTAGCTTAAAACTCTGATTCTGAAAGAGGGAAATAATATATCTGTGAGTTAAGAAAGTACTGGGGAGCTTTTCAATGCCAACAGCAATGTTCTATGTTTTGTTTTAATTTTATTTTCTAGACTGTTAGGATTAATGTTTTTAAAAAATATGGAATATATGACTCCATAATTAATTCAGAATGGTACTCTGTAAAGAGGAAACTGTATTTTACAAAGTCACCAGCCAGATTATTAAAAATCGAACATTCCATTTTTAAGAAGTTCTGTTTTTGTTGCTTTGAGTGCTGTCAAGTCAGTTTAGACTCCTAGCGACCCTGCAGAAGGTTCCTGAGGAGAGGCTTGTGAGTCTGAACTGCCAACAAGCGGTTCAAACCCACCTTATGATCAAGTGCTCATCCTACAGTGTCATACCACAACGCCACAACAATTCTGTAGGGAATAGAAAATGGCATAGCCACTTGGGAAAATAATTTGCTGATTTTCTTTTTGAAAAAACTAAACATAGAATACCATAGGATCCAAAAAATGCCTGTTGTTGTTGCTAAGTGCTGTTGAGTTGGCTCCAACCCATAGCGACCCTGTACCAGGTTTCTGAGGCTGTAAATCTTTACGGGAGCAGCAAACCTCATCTTTCTCCCACGGAGCAGCTGGTAGTTTTGAACTGCTGACCTTAAGGTTCGCAGCCCAATTTGTAACCACTACACTACCAGAGCTCCTTAAACCTGGGCTTTTATTCCAGATAAGTAAAAATTTAGGGTCATACAAAAACCTGGATGCAAATATGTATAGTAATTTATTCATAATAGCCAGAACTGCAGGTTCTTTAAAACGCGAATGATTATTAAACAAAGTGTCATCCAGCAATACTACTTATCAATAAAAAGGAAGGAACTGTTCACATATGCAGAGTCCTTATGTGGCACAGTAGGATAAGCACTGGACCTAAAGCTCATTTAAACCCCAAAGTCAGTGGTTCAAACTCACCAGCCACTCCTTGGAAACCTTATACAGGATCGCTATGAATCGGAAACAACTGATTTGCACTGAACAACAACACTGATATGCACAACAACCTGGATTAATCTCCAAAGAATTAGGCTGAGAGGGAAAAGGCAATCCTAAAAGATAACATTACTATAGTATTCCACTTTCATAACATCTTGAAATAACAAAGTGATAGATATTAGAGAACAAATTGATAGTTGCCAGGGACTAGAGAGGGAGGACAGGAGAGGAGGGGTCAGAGGGCAGTGGTGAGGTCATAAAGGGGTGATGAGGATCCTTCCTGTGATGAGGATGCTCAGAGGACGTCAATGTGCTGGTCCTGCTAGCACTAGAGTGAAATAGGTAAAGGGTATTTGTGATTTCTCTCTATCATTTCTCACAGATGCATATGGATCGATGACGATCTCAAAATAAAAATATGATTTAAAACACCAAGCGATGGGGGTGGGGGAAGGAACTAGACAAAAACGTCTAAAACTTTAATGACAGTCATTGATAACTATACGGTAAGGACTGAAGAGTGAAGAAATACCTAAATTTAAGACGTGCATTAAAACAACACACAGGTACACATCACTGGGGACGCCTGGAATGGCACTGGAGGATGAGAACTGGACTGTAAATCTCAAGGTCGGCAGTTCAAACCCACCAGCTGCTCCTCAGAAACCCTAGACAGGGTCACTATAAACCGATGGCAACAACACCATACAGCACTGGAGTCCTGTGGGGGGCTGTAGGGTACACTGGATCGCAAGGTCTCTTTGAACCACAAGCCTGGTTTAAACCCACCAGCCGCTCCTCAGAAACCCTATACAGGGTCACTATGAGCAGAAATGGACTTAACAGCACTTAAAAACAACACATCATTGGGAGTGAGTGGCTCCAGAGGATAAGCACAAAACTGTGAACCACAGGTCGGTGGTTCAAGTCCACAGTTGCTCTGAAGGAGAAAGATGAGGCTTTCTGCTCCTATAAAGATATTTTTAAAAGTCTTGGAAGCCCTATACAGGGTTGGCACGAGTTGGAACCAACTCGACAGCACTTAACAACAATACACCATTAAATTCTTTGTTGCTAAGCTATTAAGTGCCATTGAGACAGTTCAAAGTTATAGTTACCCTGCAAATTGTTTCCAAGGAGCATCTGGTGGGTTTGAACTGCTGACCTTGTGGTTTGCAGTCTAGTGCTTTTCCTACAGTGCTACACAATGTTTTGCATAAAAACAGATTATAAAACTCCTTTTCTTAATGCCATAGTGTGGATACCTGGTCACGGGTGTACTTATTTCATCTTCCTCATTCTCTACCAGGACCTTGAAGAGCTGATTCAAGATTATCGGCAGAAAACTCATGATTGCATGAATCTTTTCCACATTCAGTAAATTCTGAAGTAAATTGGCAGGAAGAAAAAAAAAAAAAAGAAACAACGAACATTGGTAAGCTATAAAGCCTGTTCTGCTGGCGTTTTTCAGAATGCGAACATGACTATTAAACAAACTAATACAAACATAGTTGCCATCAAGTTGTTTCCAACTTGCAGCAAGCCCGTGCATATCAGAGCAGTCTGTATCCCACAGGGTTTTCAATGACTGATTTCTCAGACCCACATTTCCATGGTTTCTTTTTCAAGGCACTTCTGGGTGGATTTGGACTGTCAACCTTTTGGTCAGCAGTCGAGTATGTTAACTGTTCACACCTCCAGACACTCCTTGAATACTGCTGCTCCTCAGAAACCCTGTACAGGGTCACTCTGAGTTGGAACTGATTCAACAGACTTAGCAACAACTGCCTTGGAGACCAGAGAAACGATGTACATGACATATTACCTTACAAGAGCGGATGAAATTTGAGGTAGGGGACTGAGACAGATCTTTCTCTCTTTTTTGGCACTGTTTAAAAAATGCGTTCACATGTGGATCCTAAAACATACAAAAAAAGAAAAAAAAATTCTAATGACACAGGAACACGGCTAGAAAGTAATCATGGTAACAATATATGAGCATTTCTGTCTCGATTTGGAAAAACCCTCAGAGTTAGACAGACGCTTTCTTTTCCACTAGATAGTGTGTGTATTGCAGGGTCAACCAGAACTAACAAGCTGATATTCCTCCTATTCAATGTCCACAGGTTTTATTTTCCTTCTCAGCCACACGACAGACTTTCCATCACCTGTTTTTGAGACCTCTGTTAAATGATTAGTGTCATCGTGTGGATGGATATAGGAGACACCTTATGATTCTGTGTGCTGGAGAAGATGCTAAATTTATGGAAGCGGGGTGGTTGTCTGTACTCACCTGTGTGTTCACGGTTGACACAACAAATGTTGATACTTTGAAAAGTGGTTTGCCACCATCAACCCATTTAATGTCACCCATACCGTGCTGCAAAAAGAGAGTTTGTAACTGTTAACATGGCAGCTGTAAATAAAATAAACAGGTTGCTTAGTTTATGTTAATTTTCCATCCCAATCCATTAGGTTACAGTACCATGGAAGTGGAAAACATGAGGGGGCTTCAAAGAGGTGGTGGAAAAATTCCATTATCTTTTCGTTTATTTTTCCATGAACTCTTTGAAGCTCTCTCATAAGAGATACAAAAATTTGGTCTCACTGGTAAATGAGAACAATGTAATTTCAGACAGCCATTTTTAACAGACCATTTCCAAGGACCAGTAATTAAAGACTGGGAAGACTGTAGGCACGCTTGATTCATAACCACATCAGGCACGCAGACTATGATCTCCATGCTAGTTTAAATAGCAAAAAGAAAATAACTTCCTGCCATCTGTTTCTCTTGTTAGCTGCTGTGGAGTTGATTTTTACTTATAAGACCTCGTTGTTGTTATGAGGGGTTGTGGAGTTAATCTCAACTCACAGCAATCCCACACGACAGAGCAGAATGGCCCCACAAGGTTTCCTAGGCTGTCATTTTTGTGGGAGCAGATCACTAGGTCTTTTCTCCCTCAGAGCCCTTAGGTGGATTTGAACTGTTAACCTTTCAGTTCATCAGCAGTTGAGTGCTGGACTGCTGCCTCACCGCTGCCTCACCCATATTGTCTAATACTTCACAATTTGACTCAGCAGCAGGCTGTATTGGTGCAGACTTAGTTTTACAGTAAGAAATTAAATTTAATCACTGTAACTTGCTGGTCTAAAGTTGCAGCTAACACATGCTAACATGTGTGCTGTAAATATCATTGATCCAGTGATACATTAGCTTATGTATTTTCTTTTTCTTAAATTCTACATTATTTCAATACCTTTCCACTTGCAGAATCTTGAAAGCTTAAGTAATTAGGAGGCAGACTTGTTGCTACTGGGATGTTATACTCTTGAGAGGCTATCTGATCATGCTTCTTCAGAGGAATCCAAGCATATCCGACTGCAAGGGAACAGAAAGAAGAGGAAACTTCTGATTACCAGCTTCCATGATGAGGCATGAAAATAAAGTTATCTATTGCTGATGAGTGCTAAACTTCACAAAAATGTTCAAGAAACCAGAGTGTTTAAAATTACTCTCCCAATCAAATCATACTGATGACCAGCAAAGGTAGCGCAAATTCCTTCCTGCCAGTACCTGATGTTTCCAGAGCCTCCTTCTTTTTGGTGTTAGCTTTTGTGTTTATGTCACAGGTGATGTGATAAAAAGAAAACAAAATATGGTGTTGCTCGTGGATTTGTGTTGGAAGCTCAATTTTCACCTGCAATTAAAGAGATAATAGTGAATTCCGACGTGAACCATTTGCCCAGGATCAGGACAGGACAGAGCATGGGAGTCTTGGCCTTTTGAACAAACACTCAGTGGAAATCTCACGACTGATGTCTCCCAATGATGCGTCCAAAGTATGTGAAACCAAGTGTCGCTGACCCTACTTCTAAGGAACATTCAAATGTTCCATATTTGTTACCTTTGTGTTCCTTTAATTTGATTTAAAATGTGTAGAAAGTTGTGGTTGACAGAATAATGCTTCTCACCACCACCACCCCTGCCAAAAAAGATGTCTATATCCAAATCCCCAAACATATAACTTTGTTACCTCCCATGGTAAAAGGGATTGTAGGTCTGATTAAATTAAAGGTCTTGCGATGGGGAGATTATTCTGGATTATCTGGGTGGGCAAAGTGTAATCACACTTTTTTTTTTCTTATATGAAGGAGGCAGGAGGCTTCCAAGTCAGAGGAGATATAAAGAAGATGGAAGCTAAAGAGATGCAATTTCTAGGAGGGGGTCATAAGTCAAAGAATGTGGGTGATCTCTAAAAAGCGAGCATGGCAAGGAAATGGATTTTCCCCTAGAGCTTCCAGAAACCATTCAAACCTGGTGACCCCTTGATTTTAGTCCAGTGAGATTCCTTCATACTTTTCACCTCCAAAACTGTAAGATGAACTACATGTGTGCTGTTTTAACTCACTATGCATGTGGTAGCGTATTATAGCACCAATAGAGAACTCATACAAAAAGTGTGACATTTTTCATTCTAGCCTTCATGTCAGGAAGACCCATGTTGTCCAATACGTTACAATTTGACTCAGCAGCACACTGTATTGGTGCAGACTTAGCTTTATAGTTAGAAATTAAATTTAAGCACTGTAACTTGCTGGTCTGGAGTTGCAGATAACACATGCTAACATGTATGCAGTAAACATCATTGATCCAGTGATTTAAAAAAAATATATGAAATATAGCATCAATGAAGGAGCCCTGGTTAGTGTAGTGGATTAACAGCAAGGCTGCTAACTGCAGGATAGTTAGTAGTTAGAATCTACCAGTCACTCTGTGGGAGAAAGATGAGACTTTCTGCTTCTCTAAAGATATACTGCCTCTGAACGTATATAGAGTCAGTAGTCCGAACCGACTCAGTGGTACACAACCACCTCCACAACCACCAGAGAATAATGATGACGTTTCAGGCTGTGCAGTCCCATGACCTAGGTATGAGTCCGGGTTGCCCTTTGTTAGTGTCCTTGGAAAAGTTGTTTGATTTCTCTGAGGCTCAGTTTCCTCCCCATTAAACAGGAAGGTAATAATAGTAGTTAACTCTGAGAACTTCAGTGGAGATTAAGTGAGACGTGTGTGAATGGTGCGTAAGATGGTACCTGGTTTCAAAATCAACAAGAGAGTCTTGGAAGTTCTCCAGGACAGGCCTGGATCCCACATCTATTTATCTGTGGTTCAGGCATAGCTAGTCTCATACAAGTCGTATCCAATGGTGATGGTACATACATACGCCAGTTCTTTGTTCTTTGTGAGATGCTGCTACTGATAGGTGAAAGTGGTGTAACACATTTTATATTATACTGACTAGTGAAGCGGAAGGAAAAATGGGTCTCACTTGAAAAACATGATCTAACAGAAGCATTTACATTTGTAAAGGTCACTCCTATGCCGAAGTACACAAAGCTACAATCTATTCCTACAGAAACTATCCGCTAAAAGCATTCATAAATGCAGGCTAAATAAACACCTGCCAAGGCATGTCCTCAGTCTGAAGTGTGATACCCACCCATACTCTGACCCACTTGCCCACCTTTCTAGGAGCTGCCGGTGTCAGCGGGGCCTCGGCCCATCCTTACCTCATCAGAGAAATCTGGATTCTGAGAATGGTGCAGAACTGCTGTGTAGGCGGCTGAGGTGAAGAGGGGCCCTCCAGGTTTTCCATAAATACACTGTTATAAAAAGTTACCAGATGAACAGTTGTGAAACTTTTATTTTCACTGAGTAGAAAAAGGTTACAAAACTTTACTTCTACTCTGTGGCAAAAGCAAATTTGGTGATAACTTACTCGATTTGTTTGCTATTGTTGTTAAATACTGTGGAGTTGGTTCTGACTCATAGCGACCCTGCACGGGGTTTCCGAGGCTGTAATTCTTTACGGGATCAGAAAGCCTCATCTTTCTCCCATGTAACTGCTGACCTTGAGGTTGGTAGCCTGACTCATAACCACTACTTAACGACGTTCAATTAACCTTGAACTTCTTAGGCCAACGATTTCATATTTGAAGAAGTCTTGGAGAAACAGTGGCTAAACACTTGGTTGTTAACACTAAGTTCTGTGGTTCCAACCCCCAGCGGTTCTTCAGGAGAAAGAGCGGCAGTAAATTTCAATAAAGATTTACAGCCTTGGAAACCCCATGGACCAATTAGACTTTGTCCAAATGGGTTGCTATGAGTTGAAATTGACTCAGTGACAATAGGTTTTTTTTTTAGGTTTTATTTTGTTTTAAATCCATTAAACAATGAGATGTTAGGTTAAAAACAACTTGAAAATGTTCTAATTCATCAATTAGATATTACTTAAAGGCTGAAGGCCTGAATCAATCCGTCATCTGGTTGTTGACTTTTGTTATAGAGTTGACATCTGACTTGTGGGGACCCCCTGCACAATGGAATAAAATCCTGTTTGGTTCTGTCTCATCTCCATAAGCGGTTGTGGATCAGATTGGTGGGATCCAGGGGTTTTTCAGTGGCTCACTTTTGGCCAGGTTAATCTTCTTAATCTGTGTTAAGTCTGGAAGTTCCACTAAACCGTGCTCAGCATCAGAGCACCATCAACGTTTCCACTGACAGATGGATAGTCGACATAAACGAAGTGAATTGGTTGGGAATTGAACATTCTTCTTTTGTATGGGAGGTAAGGATTCTGCCAGTGAACCAATGGCTTTTGATTACCAGGAAATAAGGAATAAATTGTTCCAGATTCTGCAGGGGCTCACTGAATTAGGCTTTGATTGTTTATTTGTTAGGTGCTATCAAGTCGGTACCAAATCATAGATCCCCTATGAACAACAGAACGAAACACTGTCCGTCCTGCACCAACCTGACAATCATTGCTATGTGCAAGCCCATTGTTGATGTCACTGTTGCCAATCTATCTCATTGGGATCTTCCTCTTTTTCTCTGACTCTTCACTTTACCAAATAAGATACCCTTCTCCAGGGATGGGTCCCTCCTGATAATGTGTTTGAAATATGAGAGGTGAAATCTGGCCATCCTGGCTTCTAAGAAGCATTATGGCTGTATTTATTTTAACACAGATCGGTTTGTTCTTTGGCAGTACACGTTACTTTTAATATTCTCTTCCAATACCATAACTCTAATGTATCAATTCTTCTACAGTCTTCCTTACTCACTGTCCAACTTTTGTGTGCATATGAGGTTATTGAAAATACCATGGCTTGGGTCAGGTGCACCTTAGTCCTCAAACTGACATCTTTGCTCTTCAACACTTTAAAAAGGTCTTGTGCAGCAGATTTGCCTAATGCACCATGTTGTTTGATTTCTTGACTGCTGCATCCATTAGTGTTGATGGTTAAGCTGTGAAAAATGAAGTCTTTGACAACTTCAATCTTTTCTTTATTTATATGAATGCTATTTATTGATCCAGTGGTAAGGATTACTGTTTTCTTTACACTGAGGTGCAACCCATAATGAAGGCTGTGGTCTTTGATCTTCATCAGTAAGTACTTCGAATCTTTCAGTGTTCTGTTTTTCTTTTTGTACAACTGCCTCTTAATCTATGTACAGGCTCCTCATGAGCACAATTAAGTGTTCCATAGTACTCATTATCTGCAATGTTATCTATAGCTTTTCATGATCCACACAATCAAAAGTCTTTCCATAGTCAATAAAGCACAGGTAAACATCTTTAAGGTATTCTCTGCTATCAGCCAAGATCCATTTGACATCAGCAATGAAATCCCTTGTTTCACGTCCTTTTCTGGATCCAGCTTGAACCTCTGGAAGCTCTCTTTCAAAGTATGGTTGCAGCTGTTTTTGCAATATCTTTAGAAAATTTTACTTGCATAAACTATCAATGATACTGTCCCAATGATTTCCACATTCTGTTGGGTCACCTCTCTTTGGAATGGGCACAGATACGGATCTCTTTTGGTCAACGGATCAGGTAGCTGTCTTCCAGTTTTCTTGGCATAGATGAGGGAGGGCCTCCTGTGCTCCATGAATTTGTTGAATGATTTCAATTTATATTCCATCAATTCCTGGTGCCTTGTTCTTTGTCAATGCCTTCAATGCTGTTGGACTTCCTCCTTCATTATCATTGGTTATTGATCATATGCTACCTCATGAAATGGTCTCTCCTTATTCCTAGTCTGTTTTTTTTCTGGAAGCTCAACTGAGACCTGTCCACCATGGCTGCCCCTGGTGATGATTGATACACCAATGGCATAGCTTTCAGAATCACAGCACTTCGTAAGTCACCATTCTATGACAAACCGACAGATGAGTATTGGGAATTGGGCTTTACTCTAATGCTTAAGGTGGTTACTCCTGAGATTCTGTAGGGCTTGGACCCCAATCCCTAATAAGCTGGCCTCCAACCAGGAACTCTGAGCTGACACAACAGGGTAGTGTCTAGGCCCCCCACCCCCCACTATATCGTGATTGTATCCCAGCCCCTAATCAGGCCAGAGGATGTGAAATAATGCACCTCTCATCATGCAGCCTCAAAGGGTTGAGGGTACCCCACTAGAGTCAGGCATCTGGGCCTGCTGTGTCTCTCTGCAAATGTTTAACTGCAATGAAAACCAGGAACCCACACATCTGCCTCATTCTGCCCTCCTAGAATGTTCCCCATAATCCCTTGCTCTAGCAGGAATTGCTGTCAGTCAAAATGTAATTTGCTTGAGAGTTGCATGACTCTTTCTCTTATGATGCTGATGCTATGTCTACTTGGCATCTAAAGATGCTGAAAGTGGCTGAGGACCAATTTAAAGAATTCTTCCTCTTTACTTTCCATGATTCATTAGACCATTTTAAAATTAAGTGCTGTTCTACCAAATAATACAAAAAACTTCTTGACCCTAAAATGAGAGTACACAACAGAGAGCAGACAGAGTGCTATGAGAAAGGGAACTTAGATAATATTAGATGGTAACAAGTCAGAACATGTGCGGGACTATTTCCTCTCTTCACCCAAACTGGGAAGACCAGGCCATGGGACTGATAAGAATTTCTCCCTTGTATTTTTGTAGGTGACTTTATGTTGCCTCAAGCTCCTAAAATAAAAACAGTTATTTATTAAATATAAACTCTAAAAATTGCCATCCAGTTTTATAGGTTGTTGTTGTTGTTAGGTGCCATCGAGTTGGTACCGACCCATAGCGACCTTATGCGCAGCAGAACAAAACACTGCCCGATCCTGGGCCAACTTCACTACTGTTGCCATGCTTGAGCCCATTGATGCTGCCACTTTGCAACTCCATCTGCCTGGGGGTCTTCCTCTTTTTCTCTGACCCTCCACCCTATCAAATATGATATTGTTCTCCAGAGACTAGTTCCTCTTGACAATATGTTCAAAGTATGAGAAACGAAGCTTGGCCATCCTGGCCTCCAAGGAACACTCCAGCTGCACTTCTTTCAACACAGATCTATTGGTTCTTTTGGCAGTCCATGGCACTTTCAGTATTCTCCTCCAACACCACAACTCAAAGGCATCAATTTTTCCACAATCTTCCTTATTCACTGTCCAGCTCTCACATCCATATGAGGTTATTGAAAATACCATGGCTTGGGTCAGGTGCACCTTAGTCCTTAAGCTGACATCTCTGCTCTTCAACACTTTAAAAAGTTCCTGTGCAGCAGATTTGCCCTATGCAATACGTCGTCTGGTCTCCTGACTACTGCTTCCACGAGTGCTGATAGTTGATCCAAAAAGAATGAAGTCCTTGACAACTTCAATCTTTTCTCTGTTGATAAGAATGTTTTTTATTGGTCCAGTACTGAGGATTTTTGTTTTCTTTGCATTAAGATACAATCCATACCAAAGGCTGTGCTCTTTGGTCTTCATCAGTAAATATTTTAAGTCCTCTTCACTTTCTGAAAGCAAGGTTGTATCATCTGCATATCGCAGGTTGTTAATGAGTCTTCCTCCAATCCTGATGCCATGTTTTTCTTCCTATAACCCAGCTTCTCAGATGATTTGCTCAGTATACAGGTTGAATAAGTATGGTGAAAGAATACAACCCTGTCACACACCATTCTTCATTTAAAACCATTCAGTGTTCCCATATTCTGTTCAAACAACTGCCTCTTGGTCCATGTACAGATTCCTCATGAGCACAATTAAGTGTTCGGGAATACTCATACTTTGCAATGTTGTCCATAGCTTGTCATGATCCACACAATTGAAAGCCTTTGCGTAGTCAATAAAGTACAGGTAAATATCTTTCTCATATTCTCTGCTTTCAGCCAAGATCCATCAGACATCAGCAATGATATCCCTCATTCCAAGTCCTCTTCTGAATCCGGCTTGAACCTCTGGAAGTTCTCTGTCAATTTATGCTTGTAGCCATTTCTGTATTACTTTTAGTAAAACTTTACTCTCATGAGATATAAAAGAGATTGTCCAATGATTTCCACATTCCATTGGGTCACTTCTCTTTGGAATGGGCACAAATATGGATCTCTTCCATTCAGTCGGCCAGATGGTTGTCTTCCAAGTTTCTTGGCATAGATGAGTGCCGCCTGTGCTGCCTCAATTTCTTGAAAGATTTCAATTTTCATTCCATCAATTCCTGGTGCCTTGTTCTTTGCCAATTCCTTCAATGCACCTTGGACTTCTTCCTTCGGTATTATTGGTTCTTGATCATATGCTACCTTTTGAAATGGTTAAACAGCAACCATTTTCTATTGGTGCAATTTTATAGATTAAAACGGTAGAATTCATACAACCCTCCATGTTTCATTGATCTAATGAAATCATGTGATCAACAAAAGAACTGATTTTCCAAGCTGATTTACCAGTGGCTCAGGCAGTGGTAATACCATCTTCTGTAAATCTGATAATCCCTCAGGATCATTGTGTTTTCCATGAGGTCAGCAATGAGCAGCCATGTGGAAAGCGCAGATGAAGGTTACTGGGACGGGCCTTTTGAAATCAGGTGTGCTGCATTGGGAGGCAGGCTAATCAAAGAAATGGACAATGTGTTCCAGAGAGGAATCTCTGTATTTATTTCACACTGGCATGGTTTTCTTTTCTTATTCCATGAAAAGCAAGCAAAACCATGAGACTGGCATTTCTAATAGAACAAGTTAATGATGGCTATTAAATCAGGTGTACTTCAGAAAATCTAAAACAAAGGATGCAATTACTCGTCTTTCAACTGCACTGATATAAAAAGTCCTGCAGAATTGGAAGGAGACTGCAGGTCTCTTGCTGTGGCCTGGCTCACCTTTATTGGTTTGGCACCTTCTTCATCCGAGTTTTTGAATTCAATGCACACAGTTATGTTTCGTGCCTGCAATTGCAATAGGGGAAATGAAAGTTATCATTTTCTATTAAATAACATCTAAAATAAGTAGCATCTCATTAAATTTTGGGAAAAAAAGTAGAATGCCTACTATTTTCTTATGACATAATCTAGAGTTCTTAGAAAGAACAGAACAATCATGGAAGGATATCATTCTTGAGATGAAGAAAACGTTCCTTTTAGGAGGAAAAAGCATGCTATTTTCAGAGCATATTTAGAGACGAAAAGAAGTCCTATAGAACACATATACTGAAGGCTGGATTCAGAAAAGAATTTTAATATACTAGAAAATGGGCGTCCTGAAATACATCGAACATGAAACCCAACACTGCCCTTTAGCGGGTATTTTTCCAAGTGGTTTTCTATCCTGAAGCATTAGCTTATGGCTGGTGGCTGTGTGCCGTGGAGTCGGTTCCGACTCATAGTGACCCTGTACAGGGTTTCTGAGGCTGGAAATCTTTACGGGAGCAGAAAGCTTCATCTTTCTCCCACAGAAAAGCTCGTAGTCTCGAACTGTTGACTTTGCTGTTCACAGCCCAATTCGTAACCACTACGCTAATGTGGTGGAGAGAGATGCTGATCTCCTACCTTACTGAAGCATTTCTGGCTGTCATACTTGAGGTGCCTGGGGTAAATGTAAACGTGATTTTTGTAGACTCTGTAAGGACGGCAATACTTGGTGGAGTCGTGAACAAATTCTTCCACCTCCACTGTGGGTTCCAGCTGAGCCATGGCATTGAAAGGCTTGACAGGGATAAAGGACGATGTTACACAGTCTTAAGAAATCAGAAAACAGAAGTGTGTCATTCAATAGGATTCTTTTTGTAGGAAGCAATACTTAAATTTTAACATGAACCCACTCAAAATAAAACTCTATGGCTTACATTAAGTTGTTCTGAATTATTCTGGCATGGAAAATTTGTAGGAGATGGGCATGGGAGGTAATCAAGCATTATCTTTAATATCAAAACCGATGCTTCAAAAAGGAATTGAGTCTTGTGGATGGGTTTATAATGCTACTCTTTTTGTATTAAGCTTTACATAAAGGTTAATTTTAGCTAATCACACTCTGAATGATCTGAACCAGATTTTATACAAGAAGAATTAACCAGTGACTTTTGCTAAGACACTATAAATATACTGCAGCTAGGGCTATATGGCAAGACAAAACTAAGGGGTCTCATATGGGTAGTGCTACATGGATTCATAGTAACTTTCCCCTATGAAACCATTTCACAGCCTGGGCTAGAAACATACATGTGCATTACCACATATAATTTATTTCATGTTTCTCATCAGTTTTTATAACTCTTTAAAATGTAGCCTCGTAAGAACAGTATAAGAAAAAAAAGAGAGAGAGACAATAACCAATTTTTCAATCCAAATTCCCATCATTAAATCATTTGGAGGCTGAAGTTGTAGAACTGAAAGATAGCAAATCTACCTACTTCCTTTCACCCCATCTAGAATAGTCCTGCCTTCAGAAAAACAAACTGATTAGACACGTAGGCTTGGAAATCTGATGAGAGTTTTTGTTTATAAAAATCTATGATAATAGTTTTAGTATATGTCAAATGTTTTCTCATCTTCTGTAATTCTCTCAAAGAGAAAATTTTAGCTCTCTGGTTCGCTATTTTTTTCTTTCCATAGGTAATAAAAGCCACATTCTCCCCATTAGGTAAAGGAAATGGTCTAGTTTATCCTCTGCTTTTTCAAGTCAATCAATATAAAAATGATTTGGAGCCACGGTTTACATCAGAATGCTCATATTTCATATTAAAATGATTTGTGGATAAACTGTAAGAATGGAAAGCTTATGGATATGAATGGTAATCCAAATACCTTATGATACTAATCTTCTCCCCCATTTAAGGTTCATTGTTGGATAAATGCCATGGTTTGTCATTGTCTCACTGAGAAAGTCACCAAGCAGACTAGTCAGAAGTAGCAAACAACACAAACCAAAAAACCAATCTCACCATTTGAGAAATATATTCTGATTTTTTTTAAAAAATCTGAGTAAATAGCCCTTCTGAAATTGTTATTATCTGCTGATATAAACAGGGTTTTTGACCATACGAGGAGGCTTCAAAAATTTAAGAGAAAAGTTCCATCTGTCAATTCCATTCCCCATGAAAATTTCGAAACCTCCTCAGACTCTGAAAAAGATACAGCCCCTCTTTGTAGTAACAGTCTCAACACATTTCAGTTTCAATTATTGCCTAACCACTAAGGTAGTTAAATGTTTTTCAGAGTAAATTCTTGGCAGTATACTTTGGGACCAGCTGTGTATTTTTGGATCAGTAAGAGTAACTCGATAGAATATAAGTTCTGTTAGTTCAGGTTGCTGGTTTATTAAACTATATGGACATGGCTTTACTCTTTTCCAATCCTCTGGGGTTCTGAAGGGGCAAATAGATAGTTTAATAACTTGCCAGAACATGTTGGATACAAGATAAAGAGTCTCTCTTAAAGAAGAAATAAGGAGATAATGAACTCCATTTATACAAATATTTGGAAAAAATACTTACTTATCTAGCTAACCAAAACCAAACCCCTGCCCCAAACACAGAAAAACCAACCCACTAAAAGTTCTAAACTCTACAACCAAACCATGACATCAAAGTCATCATACTTGGATGCTCCAAAGGGACGTTATCAACAGCAATGTCCAGGCCTCCAGGTATGGTCTGCAATTTGTTTATTCTTTCGGCCCTGTGAAAATATACCAGCGCAGAAACACACACACATGCATGCAATGAATTATTCTAGATCTCAAGAAGCAGCCAACTAATAATTCTGAGTTCTAACACAAGCAAACAGTAGAAGACAATCTTATGAATGGTCCCTTTCAGCTAGTTCGGTTTTGAACACCATTCAATGCAGCAAATGGGAGTCTTCTTTCCAGGTCATAACTGGTTTTGTAGAATCACAGAGAAGTCAGACTAGCTCAGGGCCTCCTCCAGGGTGTTGTTCCTCAACTTCATTATGCTTCCTAAGGTTTATCATCTTTCCAGAACAAACAACAACAACAACAACACTGGAAAGCTTCATTTCTAGTTAATAGAAACATATCCTCCATTGAAGTTATAGAAAATATTCATCATGCTTGCTTCATGATATTATATTGTTTTTGTTTGGGTAAACAGAATTAATAGGAAATTGCTTATTCATCAATGAGAAAGGTAAATAATTAACATTTTGAAAGGGGAGAGAGGCCCACGGAAACTGTGGTCATTAGGTGACTAACAATTTACGATACGTAGCTTCTCATGAGATACTCCATCATCAGCATCAGATTGTTTTATGCATTTCTTCTCTTAGCACTAATTTCCTTCGTCTTTTTGTGTTTTCTATTTTTTAAAGCTTTTGATTGTGAATTGAGTGAAGGTTTACAGAATAACAGATCACCACTCCCACATACAACAAATTATACACTTCATGTCATTACAAAGATTGCAATCCACTCCATGTACCATCAGTTTACAATGTTTACCTCGAATCGCTTTATTGTGTTCCCTTTCCTGCACCCCCACTTGCCCTGTAACCATCATAAAATGTTTCCTTGAGCAAGAAAATCTTTTCTTAACTTTTACAACAGTGGTCTCATGTAGTACGTGTCCGTTTGTGATTAACTAATTTACTTTCGCTTTTCCAAAAGCATTAAGATGATAGAAATATGAATTATTATATTCACAGCAATGCAATTTTTCTGTGGCGTTTTAAAGCATGATCCTAAAATTCTTTAACATTCCTCCTACTGAAAGGAGTCAGTTGTCTTTCCCTTTAATCTGAGTTTTATAAGAGTTTGACAATGGATGATTGTATAACTTATAGTTTCTGGTCTCTGACCTTAAGAGACTGGCAGTGACCATTTCCTGTCACTTGGAGTGTGTACTCTTAGAACCCAACTATTGTGCCACTAGGAAGTCAAAGTAACTCATGAAGAGGACTATCTGGAGAAAAACCAAGGCCTCTGGGCCACAGCTCCAGGTGAGCACCAGCTGGCAACCAGGACAATGTTACAGTCATTAAATCAGCCTTCTCGTAAGCTGATACCCCAGCCACTAGTTAAGCAACAATGTCAAGTGTAGAAAACTCAACTCGCCTCACCCAGTCATCACACTGTGGATTCATCAGTTAAAGTAAGCGCTATTCCAGTCCATTAAGTTTTGGATTGACTTGTTATACAGAAATGGACAGCTGGAGTTTAATGTTTCTCATGCCTTCCGTATCATTCTGGCAAATACATTAAAGATGGCACCATTTGGGCACATGTGAAACCATCTGAAAAACCTCTGCTATCTGGCAGAGGGATGGACGTTTGAAAATCAAGTCATCAGGTATTGTTTATGCACAGATGATAACAATAGTTATATAGCTGTAGCTCATTTATGTCAACTTTAAGAATATCAAAAAGAAAAAAAATCAAACCTTCTGTAATCAAACACTAGTTTAAGTAGGTCTTCAGTTGATATCTTATTACTTTCTTGTCTATATAATGGCGAAAATCTTGAATCTCTGTCCACATTTCCCTCATTGTCCTTAAACACTGATCTGAAAGAAAATCGTATTTATTCATGTTGGTACGCAGATATTGTTTATGGATTGTGCTTTTAAAGAGACTAAACTGATTCAATGTCCCATTCAAAATGGAAGAAACTCGGGAACTTATATAAAAAGACAAGCAAAGCTCTTAGCATTAAAAATTCATTTGCAAACTCTATTTTTATTATCTTCATCTTCAATTCTGCATCTAAAGTGACAACAGCCCATACTACAACTTTTGTTTATTTAAAAAAATTTTTAATGATGCTTCACATTTGGTAGCTTATATCAAAACTTTGGAGTATCCATGGGATGAAGAAGAAAAGGAGTAAACAGCATTCCTTTTTCATTATTTCCTCAAGACGATCTAAACCTGGACAAACTGGGTCCATTTCAGTTTGGATCGTCCCAATACAATTTAGTAAAACAGGGATACAGTTGTGTATGTGTGTGACTCGTGAAACAGAATCATGGAAATTTATGTGCCCATAGCTTAGTGATTCTGAGCTGGACTGCTAACCACAAGTTCAGCAGTTTGCATCTACCAGCTGCGCAGGAGAAAGATGAGGCTTTCTGCTCATAAAGACTGGACTCCTGGCATGGCACTGGAATGCTAACCACAAGATCAGCAGTTCATATCCACCAGTTGCTCCTTGGAAACCCTGTAAAGGTTTGCTGTGAGTTGGAACTGATTTGATGGCACTGAACAACAACAATATATCCCTTAAGGACAGAGTCAAAAAGAGGATGGAGAACCTGAAAGTCAGAAATTTACTATAAGTTGAAAAAACACTGAACTTAAAGACTTTATTTTCTGCTTGTACTCTCAGTACATAGGGGTGATAAGGACAGGCAACTTAGACAATGACTACCCAAAATAGGGGGTGGGAGAGGGCTATAAAGGTACAAAGCAGCTGGCTTACATGTTTTCAACAGGGAGTTTAGTTTCAGAGTGAATGGGGAAGATAAAATCCCCACTGAATAGTTTTAATCTTGTCTAAATGGGTCTGGTGAAAGGAGATGGAGACAAGATTCATTTGATTCAATAGTGAGTAATTGTTAACATGACTAATTATGATTGTTGCAACTGTAAAGGTAGAGGTTGTGTAACACAAGGGGGGAGTAGTTAATCTTACAGTCCAGGAACAGAGGACCCTAAGAACATCATGGGAGAAGAGCACAAGCAAAATGCGGGGACCCTCTCCAGAGAAGCAGCGACACCAGAGATGGAGGCAGAGATGAGGACATGGAGAGATAGAGCAGCTGAGGACGCTAGACTCATGGAAAGAGAAAGACTGTGTGCTGGTAGGCCAGGAGGCTGGCTTGCAAAATGTGCCTTTTGGTTGTCTAAACAATTATATAGTCCTGCATGTTTTTGTGTACATAAAAACAACAACAACAACAAAAGAAGGATTAGAAACAAATACTGTTAACTGATGGTGCATGGAGGGGACTGCAATCATTGCAATGAAACAAAATGCTTTTGGTTGAGTGCAAAACTGATATAATCCCATGTAAACTAGCACTCAATTCATAAGAAAATCTTAAAAAAAACATAACAAAACATTAGGGGGTGTTCAAAAAGTTCATGGAAAAATACCAGTATTTCTTAATTCCATTTTTCCTTCACAAATATTTCAAAGCCTTCTCATATTTTTATTTAAATACTACATAAGGCTTTTGCTTGAGTGAAAAAAAAAAAAGTTGAAATTAATATGACCTCTTTCCCAACATGAAGTGAGTTTAACCTAAGCTTGATCAACTGTTGTTTTATTAATCGATCAGTTGTTAGCCATCAGTCAGTGTGCATGGTACAATGTGGTTGTGTTTGTATCCACAGGTCTTTGGAAGCTGTTCACTTCCCTTGAAGCTACATCCCAAAGACAGTGAAGGGTACAGCATGGTGAGGGAGTGACTGATCACAGTACCACCCACTCTGTGGTTGTTCTGTAAATATAGAACCAGCAAAGAGAACAAAAAACCAACTCATTTCTACAGATGGTTTTGGAATGGTTAGAACATTATGCTTAGTCCCAATTGCCAATGCTGGGCAATAATCAATCTATTGTGAGAGTCTCAATCCATGAGATTTGGGTCTGATCAAAGGAAATGTGGAATTTAGCCTAAAGGAAAGAGAACCCTCAAGTTCTCCAAGCGCTTCAATCAAAGCAGCACAGATGTATGTATAGAAAGAATTGGATATATTTTTCATAGTTATGGGGGACAAAATGCAAATGTGGTTGTCAGGCAGTTATCCATATTATTAAAAAAGGAATTATCTGATTATTTTGGTTATAAAAAGGTGTACTAGTATAGGGTAAGCACGAGGATGCTAACCACGAGGTTGGCAGTTCAAATCCACCAGCTTCTCCATTGGAGAAAGACGATGCTTTCTGCTCCCATAAAGATGTATGTGTAGCCTCGGAAACCCTACACAGGACCCCTCTGAGTTGGAGTTGCCTTGAAGGCAGTAGGGGCTGGCTATAAAAAGACGAGGAAGAAACATTCTAACAGAGGCTGCTGATCATTTGCTGGGAACACTGGCAGTGTGGAGCCTTGGATAACAGCTACACAGGGTGCCTTCTCCAAAGGTACAGACTTCAGAATGCAATTTTTTATTTTGGTCTACTTTAATTTTAATGAAAATTCAGTGTTGTCCACTAGTCCTTTTTGAATGTAACTAGATAAGAATTCTGGATGAGGGAGTCTACTTCTGTCAAGATTTCCCGCCGAGAAAACCCTAGGGAAGAGTTCAACTTTGCAGCAGGGTCACCATGAGTCAGAACAACTCCATGGCAATCTAGAAAACTGAACAGGATGTGGTAGAAGCCTCAGAACTGCAATGTCAGGATCCAGGCACATATGATTCTGGCTGATGTACATGAAAAGGAGACGCTATTCCAGTGGTGGAACACGCCAATACTAACCTAAAGTTGACAGTTCAAACCCACTCAGAGGTGTCTCAGACGAATAGCCTGATTCTGAAAAGTCACAGACATGAAGATACCACGGAGCAATTTTACTCTTTAACATATGAGGTCATTACGAATTGAAATTGATTTAATGGCAAGTGCTTTGGCTGGACATGGAAAGGAGTTCCATTTACAGTTTTCTCCTAAATTGGATGTCCCCATCTGTGTGTTGGAGTCCTGGTGTGGCGCTGTGGACTAATGTGTCAAACTGCAAAGCCATTTGAACTGCAAGGTCGGTGGTTCAAGCTCACCAGCTGTTCCTTGGAAACCTTACACAGGGTTGCTATGGGTCGGAACCGACTCGACGGCACTTCATAACAACAACAACATATATGTGTGGACTCATTACCCATTCCAAGGCCAACCTTTTTGCTCTGAGATGGCACTATAGCTGGTGCCAAAAGTAAACACATGTGCCAAATTAATTGCAGATAAAATGCTGTTCACAGTGATGAACATCTCTGTACTTTGGTGGTTACATCTGGTGAAGCTAAACTGTCATTTATACTCTCTTGCAGGGTAATGCACTGGGCTGAAAGGTAGGATTGAACCACAAGATCGGTGGTTCAAACTCACCAGCTGCTCCTTGGAAACCCTATACAGGGTTGCTATGAGTTGGAACTGATTCAACGACCCTTAACAACAACAACATTAAAAGGCTGGCATAGCACTGTAGAATAAGCACTGGACCGCAAGGTCAGTTTGAACTGCACTGGTTGGCAGTTCAAATCCACCAGCTGCTCCACAGAAACCCTGTACAGGGTCACTATGAGTTGGAACCGACTTGACGGCACTGAACAACATCAACAATATTTTAGGGAAGGAGACCTGGTGGTGCAGTGGGTTAAGGGTTGGCCTGTAACCGGAAGGCCTATAGTTCAGACTCACTAGTTGCACCACAGGAGAAAGATGAGACAATCTGCTTCCATAAATATTTCCAGTCTAGAAAACCCTCTAGGGACACCAGGACTCCTTACTGCTTTAGGGTACACTCAAAACTATTTTGTAAAAAGAAAACAAAACACAATCTAGAAACTGTAACAGGGTGAAATGGTAATCATAGAGCTAGCAGTACCAGCAAAGAACTGAAATGTGTCAGGAAATTAGCTTTGCCGCGATGACAGAAGTCAGAATAAGCCTTCCTCTGACTCTACTCCCATTTATTTGAAGCAACATCTACACTGTAAAGGGGACATGAAAATATTCCTTGGTTGAATCTTGTACTTTTTGTGATTAGATAAACTAAATGACCTACTGTGAAATCTTTCAAACTGTACTGCCAGCCTTTTTTTTTTTTTTTTTTTTAATCAGCTGCCAGACAAGTTTATGTTACGGACATCCCATATTCCTACACACAAATTGATGGTGTGTACTGCTTCCTAACCTACAACCAAACCACTAATAGGGTATTAATGCAGCATGTAATTGCGGCATCGTTGGCTTCCCTGTCCTGGGAATAATTACTTCACTCATCAGTGTAATCTTGTCAGCCTCCTTAAAATTATCATCTGTCTTTCTTTCAATGTATTGTACTGAACAAGCTCAAAATAGGTTGGATGCTGTCTGGATAGGGTTGATAAAAGGTGAGGGGGAAAGGACTCCTCAATAGGGAATGATTGCTATCAGGTCTGACAGTGAATGTTGGAAAGGTAAATGTATATGTTTGGTAACAAAAGAAGAGGAGTGGCTGATTTTGCAGTCCAGGAGCTGAGATCCCTGGAACCATCAAGGGAGAAAAGCAAAGTGTGAGACCCTGTCTGAGGAGGCAGTGACACTAGAGATGGAGACAGAGACAATGACATGGACAGAAGGAAGGGCTGGGGACTCTGGACTCAGGGAGGGAGAGGGGCTCTGTGCTGGTGGTCCGGGAGGCAGGTGTGTGGGTGGTGCCCTTTGTTTGTTTGATGATGCATGCAGGGGATTGTGGTCATTGCAATGAAACAAAATATGATAGGATGAATGTAAAGATAATGTTCACCCATTGTAAACAAACCCATAATTCACAATAAAAAACTTAAAAAAAAAAAAGGTTGGATGCTTGTCCTTCATGCAAGTGTTCAGTTTATTTCCGTAATGGATGATTCTTTCAATTCTGTCTTCCACATTCATTCATGCTTTCACTGGACTAGAGTGATCAGAAAGAGGGATTGGTAGGGTGAATGGGAAGTTTCTGGAAACTCAGGGTGTTTCTGACAGGCATGAGTACATTAAAAATATCAAGTAATACAAAGTTGTTCAAAACTAAACCTTACCATGCAGACTAACATGAAGAGTCCTCAAAAAGTTCTTGGAAAAATGGAATTAAAAGATAATAGAAAAATTTTCTAGGAATTTTCTGAAGCCTTTGTATGCATTCTATTGATTTTAATTGCCAAAAGATCAACCTACCTCACGGCCCAGGCGAATGGCATGCGGTATGTTCCCAATTTACTGCAAAACTGTCGGTTAGATTTTAGTATCTTTTGTGCACACTAGGGAAAGAGTAAATAATAATAGTATTAGAACAGCATGCTACAATCTGTTGGTGTAAAATAAAACTGACTGCTTTTTCAATTGATCTTACTTAGGCTGAAACTCAGTAGAATGTTATCTTCCCAGCAAACAAATTCTCCCTCAGAATGATTCAAACTACATCCTCTGTGTTCAAAACAATTATATAAGGTTTTCTGTACATTTCAGTTTGGAATTTCCAAAGCTAAGACTGCTCTTATTTTGTAGTATTAGCTTATCTTCCCCCCTCTGACATAAAAGTCCTTAATGTCTCTCATGAAAACTGTTATCTATCCATCTGTATTGTCTGCCCTAAATTTTATTAATGTAGACAGCGGAAGGTCAACAAACTTGTTCTGTGCAAGGTTTCATGGTAGGCCTTTTGGCATTGTGGACCATATGGAGCCTAAAACAACCCTCAACTCATTATAACAGTTGATGAGCAGCCATTGAAAATACATGGATGAGTGAGTGTAGTTGTGCCAATAATACTTTATTCACAAAAACAGAAGGCAAGCAAGATTTGCAATGCATATTCTCTTCTGCTGAATTCTGGATTAAAGGACTTTCACAAACCCATGACACCCACCCTGCCTTACACTCACATTCTATTGTCTTAGCATATCCTTGGTATTAAAACACACTTTTAAAATTTACTTTCCATTGTCCAGTAACACTTGATTTTTAAAGAAAAAAAGAAAAAAGGTAGGAAAAAAAGAGAAGCTCCTGAAACCGCTGACAGTATTTCCGACCTCTTTCTTTACTTTGGTGCTATTGCGCTTTGGCATGTCAGAATAATCTTCTGTTTTCAGTTCATTCATCATCAGAATTGCCTATATTCTGGAGTCCTGGTGTGGCGCTGTGGATTAATGCGCTGGATTGCAAGGTCAGTTTGAACCACAAGGTCGGTGGTTCAAGCTCACCAGTCACTCCTTGGACACCCTATACAGGGTCACTCTGAGTCAGAACTGACTCGACACCACTTAATAACAACTTCCTATATTTTTGTAAAATGGCATTTATTTGTTTTGACATCTAAATGAGTCTAAGCTTTTCATTAATAGTTAATAATTGAATTTTTAGCTTAAAACTTTATCTACAATTAAATTTATTTACACAGTTAGGAATTGCTGGGTCAAAAAACATGAACCCAAAATATATAGTTAAAAGGAAGCCGATAAACATTTATTCCACTGACAATGGACTATTTAAAGACTTAAAATTATCAAACGATTATTATAAGGCAGTGACTCTATTTCTCGAAAGTATTGAGATTATTTACAAGGGAGGTTATCCGTTACCTTGTTGGAGTCTGGGTTCTTAATATATGGTTCAGCACCACTTGCAATGTTTCCCATTAGTACTTTTTCAATTTTGGCCACCAAAACAATTTCAGAGTGTGGATTGCTTATGGAAAATATAGCCTATATACAAAGAAAAAAGCCAGTAAGCATCAATGATCCCATATAGAAAATTCAACTATTAAAAAAAAAAAAAAAAAGATAGCTGTAAGGGAATGTTTCTTTAGAAAGTGACCCATCTGATGTGATCTCTGGGTAAGAACAATGGAACATTTATTTGCCATCCTTTTAAGAACCAAAATGAACCACGGTGGTGCTGTAGGACAAGCACTGGACTGCTAACCACAAGGTTGGCAGTTCAAATGATGAGGCTCTCTGCTCCCACAAAGATTGACCGTTTAGGAAACCTTATACAGGGTCACTGTGAGCTGGAATCAGCTCAGTAGCAGTGGTTCAGGTATTCTTGGGTTTTGCTTTACTATAGAACTGAAGTGCAACCTGCTTTGGAAATTTGAGCCATTCCTCTGGAAACCCCTTGACACGCGGTTCTTCCAATTGTCTAGGAGTGACGGTGTCAATGTTGCCATTTTCCAAAGCCATGGAACCCCCTGAAATCATCTGTCGGACAGCAGTATGGTTTAGATCCACATGAAAATCTGCAGAAATTTTCCTGTTGTCTCTGAGGTCATAAAGTGCCACACTCACAAAAAAAGGCTCAATCTGAAAGGAGAACAGAGGACATGGAAAGAAAATCTTTAACGTCATTACACTGCAACACTTTCCAAAACATTCTTTAACAAAGCAGCAAATACAGTACAAGCCGGAAGCAAGCTCCCCTTGACTCTATGAGGAGGACCCTGAGATCTTTTCCATTAGGTGCCTCAGATTCCAGGCTTTTCTGTCATTAGTTTCTCCATTCTAGTTTCCCCACGAAGCAGTCACATTCGGCTGATGCACTGTATGAACTACGTTACAAATACTTGTGGATATTCATGGGTCTTCTACACTCAAAAATACCCACCAGGACTGTCTTCCCAGATCCTCAGAAATCTGTAGCTGAATTAGAGAAGTTTCTTAAGTCCCTGCCACTTTTCTTAAAAATTTCAGTATACTATTGGTGTAGTATACTATTTGTTCTGTTGTGCATAAGGTTGCTATGGGTTGGTATTGACTCCATAGTACCTAACAACAACAACATTGGTGTTAGCTGCCACTGAGTTTACTCCTGTTGTTGTCAGGTGCCATCGAGTCGGAACCGACTCATAGCGACCCCACGCACAGCAGAACGAAACAATGTCCTATCCTGGGTCAACCTCACTACCGCTGCCACACTTGAGTCCATCAATGATGCCACCTGACCAATCCATCTCGTTAGGGGTCTTCCTCTTTTTCTCTGACACTCCACCTTACCCAGCAAGACATCCTTCTCCAGCGACTGTTTCCTCCGGACAATATGTCCAAAGTATGAGAGACGAAGCTTAGCCATCCTGGCCTCCAAGGAGCACTCTGGCTGCACT